ATCATTTAACTTGTCCCATACTTCTTCCACTTTTGTGGTTAGACGGTTATGTGCCTCCGTTTGCGTCTCCATTTGGTTTTCCAGGTCTGAGGTGCGGGAACTTAATTTATGGATATCCGTGCGGAGGTCTGTAAACGATCGCTGCAGCGTACCTTGCAGTTTAGCCACCATATCGTCAAACATAGCCTGCAGCCCCTCCGTGGTAAGCATCAGGCTTGTAGTCTCAGTGTGTGTACCCTGGACGCCTTCCATTTCGGCGCCATCTTGGACTCCTCCGGTATAACGGTTCCTCGTGTTTGCCCCTGTTTGGCGCTAAAGAAAAGTAATTTGTCCTGTTTGTCAGACGCTCGTTTACTTTTGTTGTGGGACATTGTTAATATATGCCTCGGTGCTCAATTTTCACAGTTTTGGGTCTTCAAAGTAGTGTGAGGGCCTTCACTTTCGCGGAGCTAGCAGAGCATGCGACCGCTTGCGTTCACGTCCAGGCCACACCCCCACTTATTTTTATTTTAATGCATGGGGGAAAGGAACACTGATATGCGTTCCTAAAGCTATAGTGTTCCTTTAAAATAATTGTCAAAGCACTTGAGCTTGCATTGCTGGCAGATTGTTGATCATAAGTTATGTCCCAATGCTTCTCTTTGAAAGAGCAGTGGATTTTATTAAGACACAGAGACTCCTATTAACCCCTTTAGACCGGAGGACGTACAATTATGCCCTATTTTAGGCGGCTCTAAACGCCGCCGGGCGTAATTGTACGCCCTCCGGTTTTTGTTAACTTACCCGGTCCCACGCTGGCGATCTACGGTGCCCCCCGGCCATGTGAGAGTGAGGTCCTTGCGAGGACCCCACAATCACATGGCCGGGTAGGCTGCCTCCTGCATTGCCAGCAGCGGGACTGCCTGTAATGACAGGTGGTCCCCCTGCTGGCTGAAAATAAAATTAAAATAAAATTTATTAGTGTAAAAAAATAAATATATATATTTATTTTTTTTTATAATATATACACATATACATACACACACATACACTGTCTAGGTGTATTTTACTATTAAAATATATATATATATATATATATATAATCAAATTACATGTAGACTGATACTGATTAAATATATATATAATTATTGTTATATATATATATATATATATATATATATATATTTATATATAATATAAAAAAATTATGTAAATACGTTAAAAATAAAATTAAAAAAAATAATTAAATGTATAGATGTGTGTTATTTCGTTGTAACTGTATTGTGATATTAATATATATTTATATCAAAATACATGTAGAACGAAATAATATATCTACATACATAAATATACGTATATATCACTATATATACCTATATATAAATAAAAATATTTAAAAAAATTATATATATACACATATAGATTCACATATGTGTGTGTGTGTGTGTGTGTGTGTATATGTATGTATGTATATATATATATATCTCAATTCTACATCTTTATTTATGTAATATTTTTACATAATTAGGTATCTTAATTAATTACAATTAGGGGGACCTGCCTGACAACCCATGCCGAAAGTAAAGGGAATTTAATTTGCTAGCACTATATTTAACCCTATAACTTTCCAAGACACCATAAAACCTGTACATGGGGGGTACTGTTCTACTCGGGAGACTTCGCTGAACACAAATATTAGTGTTTCAAAACAGTAAAATGTATTACAGCGATGATATCGCCAGTAAAAGTGACGTTTTTTGCATTTTTCATGCACAAACAGCAGTTACACGGACGATATTATTGCTGTGATACTTTTTACTGTTTTGAAACACAAATATTTGTGTTCAGCGAAGTCTCCCGAGTACAACGGTACCCCTCATGTACAGGTTTTATGGTGTTTTCAAAAGTTACAGCGTCAAATATAAGGCTTGCGTTTCAATTTTTTTCACATTAAAATTCACCAGATTGGTTACGGTGCCTTTGAGACCCTATGGTAGCCCGAGAATGAAAATTACCCCTATGATGGCATACCATTTGCAATAGTAGACAACCCAAGGTATTGCAAACGGGGTATGTCCAGTCTTTTTTAGTAGCCACTTAGTCACAAACACTGGCCAAAATTGGCGTTTTTTTGCATTTTTCACACACAAATACTAACGCTAACTTTGGCCAGTGTTTGTGACCAAATAGCTACTAAAAAAGACTGGACATACCCCATTTGCAATACTTTGGGTTGTCTACTATTGCAAATGGTATGCCATTATGGGTGTAAATTTCATTCCTGGGCTACTATAAAGTCCCAAAGGCAACGTAACCAATCTGGCGAATTTCAATTTCAAATGTAACGTGCTATATTTGACCCTGTATCTTCCCAAAATGCCATAAAACCTGTACATAGGGGTACTGTTTTACACGTGAGACTTTGCTGAATACAAATATGTGTATTTTATTGCAGTAAAAGCAAACAGTATTATGACATTGACAGTTAAAATGTCATGTAGAACTAAAAAAAAATGACACAATTCTTATTTTCTCCCATTTTTTTCCATATTAAATTATGTGTCATAGCTAAATATTTGATATTAAATGAAAGCCCTATTTCCCCTGAATAAAATGATATAAGGGTGGGTGCATTTACTATGAAAGAGGTGAATTACGGTTGGACAGACGTGTAGCGCAAATGCAAGATTTTGTTTCGTTCACAATGTGTACATTTGGCTCAGTCCTTAAGGGGTTAAGCTGCACTCTTTATTTACCTCAGCAGCAAAGAAAAATAACATTAAATCAGTATAAAAACAAACCAGTAAATAACATGAGGTATATCTTCCTAGCAACAGGAACAGCCAATCCGCATCCTCTTCATAGCATAATAGGCGGTTTCCAGTATACTGTTTCCTCTTTCTTTGCTGCTTAAGTGATACTGGGTCCCATGGTTCTTAACTGTGGGATCTTTTACTTTTATTAATATCATTACTGTGGTTAATATAGTTATTACATTTTAATTTCATATTTATAAATATATTTAGTTCATTTTAGGGATGTCTTTGAGGACCTTTATCCCATGCAAAATATCGTACTGTCTCCCCATTCATTCATCTGTCTGGCTGCTGCTCTGACCCCAACTGCCTGAAATCTAAGTTGGGGTTTAGTTATAGTGGCGCCCGGACAGCTCCTTCGTTTTCCTATTACAACTGCTATTTTATCACTATTGTGAGTACTCTCATTCCCTTTTTCTGTTTATTTCTACAGCAAATATGCAGATTACTTTAGAAGCCTCTCCAGGTATCTCTGGAGATTAGGCTGATTTTTTTTTCTGCTGATTTTACTGCTCCTGCTGATATGCAGGCTTTAATTGTGCAAAACAGCCACTAGCCAGGCGAAAGCCCAACTGAACTCTGAGTCTGAGCTCAGTGATATTGAGGAGTTCCCTGAGTCCTATATGGAGGAGTCAGAGGATCTTTCTGATCCTGATTATGAAATTACTTATGGATAGGATGCTAATCCCACGCAGGATACATGTCCTATTAAACCTAGCAAAATTGAGGTAGATCATGCGACAGGATCACACCGACAGGATCTTGAACCCTCAAGGTGAACCCCTATTCGAACCTGATGCCCTATGTCACCCAGTGGTCTCCTAAGACCACGTATCCAAATATATTACATCCAGAGTACGTAAGCCTTTTTAGAAGGCAAAGTGAAATAAATTGCGGGCTTAATGCCCACGCCGAACAGTCCCTGATAACGCATGTAAAACACTATCAGTTGATCCTAAGATCATTAAATTTCTGAGTAAGACAGGATGGAAGCCTACTAAAGGCTTAGATTTTTTTATTGCAAAACTGTCAGGATAAAATCCTGGACATCTTGGGCCCAGCAGCCAAGATCTTTGAAGCAGTAGAGGATGATCTAGAATTAGATCGCACCACCGTAAGTGGTTGGATCCAGAGAGTGATCTATTATGTTGGCAACGCCAACACTGCGGTTGCCACAGAAAGCCGCAAATCGATCATACTCAAGATTGAGTCCAAACGTGTAACTATGGCTCTGAACGAACCTGACACACAGGCTCTTTGGGGACAACTTTGTAAAAGAATTGGGTTCCTTTGTTCACACATTGACTGCTCTAGATAAAGTGCAATGCAAGACGTGCAAGCTATTTAACCCTAGAGTATACGCTGGGGCCAGAAAAGTCAGGAGCTTAATAAACAGAAGTTCTTTTAGACAGAACCAAGGCTCTTATACTGGCCGATCCAATTTCTTTGAACAATGCACTATACCATCCTTCTTCCCACAACATGGTCGACCCCGGGTTGTTAGTGGCCCAAGAGGTGCTCCTTCAGGATGAACACCTTATGGTAAGTCTTCACAATCTCCATTCTTCCTTAGTGGTAGTGGGGGGCAGGCTCACACATTTTTCCCATGTATGGTTCTTCACACTGTGAAAGGGTATGGCATAGACTTCCTTTCTCTACTTGTTCAATGTTCCCCATTGAGGGAAATAGGTTTTTTCCAAATGAGAGGAAATAAAACAACAGATGCGCAATCAAGCCATGGTAGAAATTCTGGCCCGTACCATGGGTTACATGAGCAACCTTTTCTTAGTTCCCAAAAAAGGAGAAGGTGTCCGTCCATTGATAGGTTTGAGACAGCTCAATGGTTATTAGGCAGAGCACTTCCAAGGTGGAAGGAGTGCATTGCTTAAGGGATCTTCTCCCACCAGCAGACTGGATAGCCAATTTGGATCCGCACATTGCATATCTCATAGTACATATCGCAGTCCAACATCAAGATCAAGAACTTCCTGCAGTTCACATGGCAGGGCAGGAAATGGAGGTTCAGGTGCCTCCCATTTGGACTGCCTTTGGCTCCATGGTGCTTCACCAAGCTCATGAAACCGATGGTAACCCTGCTACGGAGTCGGGCAGTACGTCTTGTAATATATTTAGACGGCATTTTCATTCTGGCTCAGTCTATTAAATTAATCTGGACCCACCTTGCATGGACTTTTACTCCGTTAGAGAGCCTAATCTTCCTGATCAATTGCGAGACATCCATTATCGTTCCCATGCAATAAATCAAATCTCTGGGTTTTTATTGGGTTACTGTAGATTCTACCCTTCGAACCCTACACCTTTCAGTGGCAAAACTAGCCAATATCAAGACGGAGATAGGCGAACACTAGTAACCTCTCAACTCTCTCTCGATTACAAGCTTCATCTCAATGGCAGTCATCATACATAGATATGGTAACTCTGTACTCAGAAACGAAGGATGAACTCCAATGGTGGCTTGGTCACATGGAAGCTTTGAATGAATGCGCCATATTCTGTACAACTCCAGATTTGATAATCAAATCTGACGCATATTTCCACCAGATGATTAGTTCCTTTGCAGTCCGCAGTTTCTCCCCAACTCAAGGCCAATGCACTATCCTTCTGAAGATGGACCACGTGTCAACTGTCCGCTACATCAATCACCTGGAGACACAAAGTACAAAATTCTGACCTACCTGGCTCGCGATTTCTGTCAATTTTGCCTGATACACTGGATTTCAGTCACGGCAGAATACATTCCAGGTCTTCTTCAAGAAAAAAAAAATTTCTTGCAAGAGGGTTTCTGACGTACAAACTCTTGATGTGTCGTTTCTCGGAGGACAAAAACCTCCTCTAAAACTGTTTTATACCCAACTTTCCCTGATAGATCTCTCCTTTTGCCCTGTTGCATGTTTATGGGTGTATGAACGTTGTCCCACTATGTTATGGAATCCTTTGAAACAGGAACTCTTCATCTCCTTCCAAAAGTCACATCTTCCGGTGTCTACCTCTACCCTATCCCGGTGGGTCAAATACGTTAAGTCTCTAGCAGGTATTGATGCCTATGTGTTTGCTCCTCATTCGGTTCGTGGGGCAATGGCTTCCTTGATTGGTTGTCGCCTACAGGATATTATGAGAGTGGCTGGTCTTCGGAGTCTACATTCCATGATTTCTTTAGACCTGTTTAGCACTTTACAGGAAACACAATTCCACAGCTTTACACTAGCATAATAGGAGCCTCCGTGTCTTAATAGTAAAATCTGTGAATTTTATTAACGAGTATTATCCCTCTTTCCCATCCCTGGAGGTTTGGTCTTATCTAGGTAAGGACTTCACAGTGAGCCTTTTTGATTACTGGGTTTTAACCTTGTTAATGACTGTCAAGAGCTTAAAGTTTGACTAAATTGAATTTCATGTTATGTGTATATATATATATATATATATATATATATATATATGATATTCCAAGTAATGTGATTTTATTGATATATCCAGTTTTATACTTGGATATTACCATATTCTCCTTTCTCTTCCAGCTTGACTTCAAAGTCCAGGTTAAGGCTCGCATACCCTCTTATTGGAGCCCGCCTTTTCATTTGGATTTGTTGTCCTTGTTTGGGATCTCAAGAAAGAGGAAGTAGAACTGGACACCGCCTATAATGCTACGAAGAGGATGCTGATTGGCAGTTCCTGTTGCTAGGAAGATATACCTAGTTATTTACTGGTTTCTTTTTATACTGATTTAATGTTATTTTTCTTTGCTGCTGAGGTAAATAAAGAGTGCAGCAAAACACTTCTCATTAATAAAATCATGACTTTGTCATGTTCATAGTAAAATCAGTGATCTCCTGGCAGAGCAGAACAGCTGCGTTAGAAGTAAAATAGCTTAACTTCAGGACATGGGGAGCAGCTGAATCTAAAATAGACACGGGACACTGCAACATGATGACTGTACACTCAAGGAAAGGTTGGGACATTTCCAATACCCACACATTAAAGAGTTACTCCAAGCATCATAAGCAATACAGCCTGCTGTAGCATACCAGGAGTACCCATGCCTCATTCTCCAGTAATTGGCAAAAACACCAAATTCCTGTTCTGCATTGAAGCAAGATTAATAACCTCCTGGTTCTGCAGAAACCAGAGGCTCAGTCCTGTCAAGCATTCACAGGCCAAAGTGTCAGCTGACCACTCTCAGCCAATGATTACAATACTGTGCTTTGATAGTCGTACAGAAGTGACACTAGCCAGTCGGGAACTCTGTGCACAAAGCTCTACACCGCTGGCAGAAGTTCAAAGCACAGAGATTCCAGGCACCATGACCTCTTCAAATAATGTTTGGGGTAACCAAGATTAATGTGTAGGTTAGGTTACAGTGACCTATGCTGGCTTGGCAATTTCATATTTTTTATTTTTACATATTTTTTATTGAGAATAGGGAGTACAGGTGAAAATCAACCAAACGAAGCAGTAATTCACAGGGCTAAATCTAATAATAATAGAACTAAAAATTAGCTTGGGACCATATATATGTCAAATGCCATTGATATCGAATCCAAAATGTAAAATGTTATTTATAAACAGTACTCAAAAAGTGGTAGAAAAGCAAAAAATTTGCAACTGGATTTTTTTTAAATATTTTTTTTCCCCAGACAGTTTCCTTATGAGGGAATAATTTGTCTGTAGCTGTATTTATATATTAAATAAAAAGTAGGTTATAATACAATTTACTTTTTTTTTAATTTTATTACGAGAGTAAAACTTTAAAAGGAAAACTGCCAAATGTTATATCTCTACCCGGTATTGACCAACACACATTTAAAGTGACAGTCGGGGGGGGGAGGACACTGTATCATGTGACCACACATGTGACTTTGTGCACTTATTTGCATATGACTAATGTTTAACAAATGCTCCAAGCACCAGGAGTGCCCTGGCGTCCCCAATTGTAAGAGTCATACTATTGGCTGGAGTCCACCGGGGTGACACTCCTCTCCTCTAGTACTTTGTATGGAGCCAGAAGTGTCACATGGACTTTAGTTAGTAAACAGTGAATTGTTGCTACACAGCTAAACTTCAACACTGGAGAATGTTTCCAATGCTGAAACTTGCCCTAAACTTAGCATTTATGTTATTTATTCAGCTCTTCCTGAAATAACTCCAGAATCACCCCCACTACGATGTCTAGAGGCATCATCCAATGTAAAATGTTGAATAATGTTATGTGACACATGAATAACAGCCCACATACTGGGGCAGGAATGCTTTTATTTTTGACACATTTAGAAGAAGACCTGAGACTTTATATGACCAGCAGGAACATGGTCCCTATCCCATTCCATCTACTTATACAGGTAACAATATTAACAGTACTTTTGAGTGCCAGAGTTCAGGTATACTACTGGAATTCCAAGAGTTAAAAGGACACTAGTCCTGCATTTGTAAACCTGGATTTTTCTTGTTTGAAACACTGGTTTATATGAGGGGGGTGGGAGGAGGAGAAGAAAAAGCTTTCTCCACACAATGTCCCACAATAGTATACAGAATTAGAACAAAGACAGATCATTGGCAAAACAGTTACATAGTGATACAAGCACAGTCACACAGCAATATAGGAACTATATGTAAGCTGTTTGATGACTGCAGGTTGCCCTAGCATGGTCTGTGTGACGATTGTGCACGTCAAAGTCACCGTTTTCATTTCACAGTGTAATATTTTGTTGGCACAAACGGCATTTTGCTGGTGATGCTATCCACAAGTTTCTTCCTGATCTCCACTTTCAGAGCAGTGCCAGGTTTCATGTATTCAGGTTCCACGTAACCCATAGCCACATTCAGCTTCAGACATGGAGAAGGACAGCCGCTGGTAACCTCCCCTATAGAGGGAAACAGGAAAACATGGGCAATACCATAAGGATTCTGGGTACACCTAACTGCATATGTCTAAGGAAAACTGCATTGGATTGAAAACATTATTGGAAAATTATTATTCATATAGATTCATCAAAAGGGACAGTTAAAACAGAACTCACAATAAGAGAAAGAATACAAAATATAAACGTGTGGGGTGAAAAGTAGTTTTACTACATTTTGTAGATAATTAAGACATTACACAAGTAAATAAACATAATTAAGAGCTAATTAGGTTAATTAAAAGGGACACTCCAGACACCAAAACAACTTTAATACATTTGATAGGGTTTGGCCTCATTGATATGTCATATCTTTTGCATGTTTAAACCTTTCCAGTTTTTGCTTAAAATAAATAAATGTGTTACAGAATGCTGTACCAAAAGCCTGCTTCTTTAGCCACACACCCTCACTCTAGAAAAATACTTCCTTATCAAATGCATGCATACAGCGCTGTTGGACAGTACAGAATGATCTAAACCACAAGGTAACCTGCATTAGAAGGAGAGGGCACCCAGGGAGACATATAGCTTATTCTAGTTTCTCTGGCTGTCCGCAGCCAGGTTGTGAATTAAAAGTCACTCATCTCAGAGCAGTTGCGCTGAGACTGTGCATACTTTTGATAAGAAAGTATTTCTGGCTTGAGAGGGTGTGGCTAAGGAGGCAGGTTTATTTTTTATTTATTGCAAAAACTATATATTTAAAGGACCACTCTAGGCACCCAGACCACTTCAGCTTACTGAAGTGGTCTGGGTGCCAGGTCCCTCTAGGATTAACCCCTTTTTAAAATAAACATAGCAGTTTCAGAGAAACTGCTACATTTATAAATGGGTTAATCCAGCCTCTAAAGCAGTGGTAGTCAACCTTTTTCCACTTACCGCCCACTAATGCATCTTTCTTGATGGAAAAATTTCCTTACCGCCCACCAGTTTTCGCGCAAGCGCGGAATATTTTTTAGAAAGGAGGGTGTTTTAAAAAATACATAAATGAACGTACATTTATCTTTTTATTTCTACTTTATGCATGTTTATAATGTTTTTAACTTTATAAAGTTTAATGAGGAAGCAATAAAGTAAATTGAACTTACCTTTACTAGTGATTAATGAGATCCTTGAGGTTGATGCTGCGAGACTAAATATTTGATATCTGGTTCGATTTTCATAAGGAACAAACGAAGGTCTCCTCTTTCAGTGATAATCGGAAGACTTCTTTGTTTGCTCATAAAATGATTTCTCATCTGTGCGTCAGCTCCCCTCCTCTCCCTCCTCAATTCCCCTTCCCACCTTTTTCCCCTTTTTTCTATTTTTTAACCTTCCTTATAGCAATGCCCAGTAGGAAGGCTGAGCTAGGTAGCCCACTTACTATTATTAGTCAACAACAATTCTCTCCTTTTCCTTTTCTTTCCTTCTCCTTTTTTACAAGTACTCTACTCCTTCTTTCCTCTATACTAGAAGTACTCTACTCCTTCTTTCCCCTATACTAGAAGTACTCTACTCCTTCTTTCCCCTATACTAGAAGTACTCTACTCCTTCTTTCCCCTATACTAGAAGTACTCTACTCCTTCTTTCTCCTATTCTACAAGTACTCTGCACCTTCTTTCTTCTATTCTACAAGTACTCTGCACCTTCTTTCTTCTATTCTACAAGTACTCTGCTCACAGGCAAACACATACACACACACACACTCACATTGAAACACATACACACAAATATACACATACTCACACATGCACTTACAGACACTCACACATGCACAGACAGACCCACAGACACACACACACTTACTGACACACACACATACACTTACAGACAGACACATACACTTACAGACAGACACATACACTTACAGACAGACACATACACTTACAGACAGACACATACACTTACAGACACAGACACACACATACACTTACAGACACAGACACACACATACACTTACAGACACACACACATACACTTACAGACACACACACATACACTTACAGACACACACACATACACACACACACACATACACTTAGAGACAAACACATGTACACACACACACACATACACTTAGAGACAAACACATGTACACACAAATTATTAATATTAAATATCCACCCAGCCTCCCTACCTGGAGAGCTGGTGTGGATCTGTCCCTGGGGTCCAGTGGGGCTTCACTTAGGCGGGCGGCTAATCAGACGCAGCGAGGGAGCTCTAACCTCTCTGCTCTGCTCCCTCGCGGACTGTCTACGGATGCCGGGAGCCGGAATATGACATCATATTCCGGCTCCCGCGGCATCAGCAAACATCGCGCGAGGGAGCAGAGCAGAGAGGTTAGAGCTCCCTCGCCGCGACTGATTAGAACGCTGCCATGCCGGGGGGTCCAGAAGGTGGCCTGGCAGGAGGGAGCGCTTCCTCCTGCCGGTCACTGAAGACTTGCGCATGCAGAGCCGCTCGCGCCCGCCCAAAAGGAGAAATCCTCTTAAAAAGAGGATTTAGCCTCAGAAATCCCTACCGCCCACCTGGAATCCTAAAACGCCCACTAGTGGGCGGTAGGGACCAGGTTGACGACCCATGCTCTAAAGCCTCTAGTGGCTGTCTCATTGACAGCCGCTAGAGGTGTTTGCGTGCTTCTCACTGTGAACATCTGAGACTGGCTGAATGCGCTCGCAGCTCCTGCAGCGCATGCGCATTCAGCCGAAGAGGAGGAGAAGAGCCAGAGAGGAGGAGGAGAGCTCTCCACCCGGCGCTGGAAAAAAGGTAAGTTTAACCCTTTTTCTCTCCCCAGAGCCCGGCAGAGGCAGGCTTTTCTTATTTTCTAGGTTGAACTTGGGAAAATTCTGGTTTATCGGTACCAGTACTCACCAATAACACGTCCTTCCATGTTCATTATGGGTGTATGTTGCCTCACAGGCGGACCAGTTGAGGTCATGCCCACCCTCTTCCTTGCAACCTTGCCTTTTATCTGAGGTACAACCACAGATGCTCCTGGAAAGTCCATAGCTGCCCTGCGCCTTTTACCTGCAGGAAAATCATTAGGAAATGATGATCACAAAATTGTGGTTTGCGGGTAGGGGGGAGTATGCCGAAATACTGCATCTATTCAATATACACTCTGTTTAACCAAACTAGGAATGGTGGAACATCGTCATGGGAACGCAAATTATAGGAATAAATTAATGGTGACTGGGCATCATGGAAAATCTAGTTCAGGAACATTTGGGGTGTTAAAGGTAACCGTCTACACTCAAAGTAGAATTCTTATTATTCCAACACATAAAAAGAAAAATGATTAACTCACATAACAGATTTTTGTATCATGGTAATGAGAGTATACATTCAGAAGCTGGTCTGTGTTAAGTCATATATTTGGTCTGCAGTTACATCAGTCTAAAGCAATCAAAGTGCAATGACACCGGAAACACTTGCCATAAGGAAGAAAAATGATAACATGTACATTTATGCTTAGTTGCAGTTTGTTTTCTGATTAAATACCAATACCTTTTGTATTGCAAGTTTCTCTACGCATAATTTGTGAGCAACACTGCCACCTTCAGATATTCTTTGGAAAGTGCCTTCTCGATTGGATAATTGCACCTTAGTGCAGACGTTCCCAATCCAGTCCCTCATAGCACACCAACAGGTTAGTTTATGACCGTTTCGCATCGGAACCCAACCAGGAAATGGTGAAATATAGCATTATTGGCGTGCCTTGAAGACAGTTTTGGGAACCAATGCTTGAGACAACACTAGATAGCTTTTTAGCTTTTACTGGAGTTATTCTCCTCATATGGGTAATGTCTCACCTACCCAGTGTCCACACCAAGCTGGCCTCCACTGGAGTGGTGGTTTCATCAATGTCATTCCCATACAAACAGAGGCCGGCCTCCAAACGAAGACTGTCCCTAGCAGCCAGACCTGCCAGCTTCACTTCACTGTTCTGCAGGAGCTTATCAGCCAACTCTACTGCTCTATCCCCAGGAACAGAGATCTGTAAAGGAAGACGTGGCACAAGAGAGAGATTGTAGAGAGAAGGGAGATAAAGAGCAAGGAATAAAAGGGACAGTAATGTGGTTTTGGCTTTCCTGAAAGAACAGCAGTAATCCGAGACAGAGTAAAAGGAATTACTATATTTAATAGAAATGGTCCCATGGTTGTTTTTGCAATGCCGGTTTTTAAAATGCTGTCAAAAGAATCCTATCAATGGTCCGGTCTACTGTGTGTATTATGGCGTTTGAAGAGAACATGAAATTTCTATTCTCACTGCCACAATCCTCATTTAAATACATATACATTATATATATATATATATATATATATATATATATATATATACACACACACACATATACATACATACATACATATATACACATATATACACATTAGGAAGGCCAACTTTCACTTCGTGGCATTCTTGCTATGCACTAAATCTTCAAACTGTTAGAGTACTCTACAAGCAAAGTCACGTCTTCTGAGTTGTACATACATGATACACATCATGGTTGACAGCCCCAGGCCCTTATCTCTGAGAATCCCAGTAAAATCGATTGTTTATGATACTTAAATAAATAGATAATGGGAAAGAATGAAAGGACTGAATGAATAATGCTGCCCCTTTAAAGGGGAATTGCCCCTTGCTAGGAATTATATTATTATTTTGTTATGGAGAGAAAAACAAGTAGCAAGAGAGGTGAGAACGGACAACAGCTCAATTAGCCTGCCCTTCAGTGGGTCCCCGCTCAGATCTCAAGCTGGTTTTAGCTCATCTTGTGCAATTACAGAGAGAACATATCTGAAGCATACGGGCAGCCCAGATCCGAAATGCCAGCAAGTTCCCTCTGCACGAGAGATACAGCAACCCCAGACGATCGTTTCAACCTTGTATCATCAGTGAGGTATAGCCAATATCCCTCTAGGCACCGTGAGCTCTTTCTTGTGACTTGTATTAAAGGGTAATCCAGATGTGGACCCTTTGCTCACGGTGCCTAGAGAGATATTGGCTATACCTCACTGATGATGCTTAACAAGGTTGAAACGATTGTATGGGGTTGCTGTATCTCTCGTGCAGAGAGCCGGCCTGTATTTTTGGATCTATTCTGCCTTTTTGGGCAGATGCAAATGGTCTGGTTCTCTCCGTAATGGCACAAGATGAGCTAAAACCAGCTTAAGCACTGAGGGGGTGATTCTCAGTCTATTTCATTCATAGAATCATGGGAGTTGTAGTTCAGCAACATCTGGATGGCCGAAGTTTGAGGAAGCCTGTTTTAGAGCATAAACACATTGCTAAAGTTCCCATGATGTTTCTATTTCTCCTCCTACGTCTCAGTGTGTGCCAAGACTAGAATGGATTGTGATTTTGATTGCCAACTCTTAAATATGCATTTAAAAAGAAAAATGTAGCATTACAAGAAAAGGGGAAAAACGTTCAGCACAAGTTATAGGTAATTTTCGATGATTTTTTCAGTGTTGTGCTTCCCAGAGAAGTAATGGTTCCCCTTTCAAGGAACACTACAAACAGTATGCTGTAGTGGTTATGGTGCCATGAGTGTAAGAAGTCAACCTATTCTAGAGCAGTTTGACTGCTTATCTAGCGTCTGCCAAGCGCTGCTTCCTGCTCCCACAACTGTTCTGTGAGAGCTGGAAGCGGTCATAACTGCGCTAAGCACCAACAATGCAGGGTTTAGCTCAGGAGAGCTTATTGAAGCTCCCAAGCAGAGATTTGAGCTCTCACTAAGCTATAGTGGGGCTCAGCAGACCCCAGATAAGAAGTCAAACCGTTCTAAAATGCGCTGTAGTGGTTATGGTGCCTGGAGTGTTTCTTAAAGGGAATTTATACCAATAATAATAAATGTGTAACAGTTATAAAAAAAAACAAAAAAAAAAAACAACATTTACAAACTAACAAGAGTCAAGTCCTATTTAAGGCTGTAAGAGTCACACATTGCTTTCTTATTCACCCTCATCATCACTATTGTATTTTGCTTTTTTCCCTTCAGCTGACACATTGATTATATAGAATAATGCATAACCTTAATCAAACACAACAAAAAGAGAAGCCCTATTTACAGGTGCCTTCAATTTTACTAAAAGTTAAAGGTGGAAGCTTCTTGCATTTAAAAGATTGTTTAAAATTTCTGGAGGAAATGCAAGAAATAAAATGCAATAATACCTAGGTTTATGAGATGATATACATGTGAAGTCATGGGCTTTAAATATATTATTTATCCACAATGTTGCTAGATCCACCATGTTTCCTGGACACATCCATTCATTAAAAAAGTTATTCCAAGTATCATAACCAATACAACCAGCTACACATACACTGAAGTATTCATGTTGCTTGGCGTAACCCTTTAAAGCTTAAGTATTCTTTCTTAAACTAAAAGTTAAGCAGTGACAACTGTCCTCATATATTCTCTTGAACTTGACAGTGGGCAGATCTAAAGTCAAGTGAAATTTTTCTATAATGCTCACCTGTCCTCCACATCCCCCATTGCCTGTGCACGCTTTGTTCACCCTGGGGCTATTTCAAGTACAGGGTGAGCTGAACATGCACCAGATCTGTCACACACACTGAATGACATATCAAGGCAGAGAACCAACAGCAGTAAAAAAAAAAAAAGTTATAGAACAGGTACTGGAGAGAAAGAGTACAATCCTGGGACAGAGAGGAAGGGAGTGTGTGCGCACGCTCAAGAGGAAATATTCTTTTTTTAAAAAGATTACAAAAAGAGAAAAAAAAAAAGTCACCACCCATGACATGGACACTTAAATCGTAAATGTATTTTACACATACTGCAGGGTAACCATTTCATGTGCTGCCCGAAAGCACAAAGTCATGATTATGTGGCACCAAAGACTGGTGGATCATGCAATTCCACTCATCCAGTTAAAGTATACCATCACAAGTATCTGTTCTACACATAGTAACATCTAGTACCTCCACGCCATCCTCCCCTGTGTATCCACACCGTGTCACTCTGCAGCCAGGGACCCCAAACACAGTTGTAGTCACTCCAGTCATAAATGGGAGCTTGGAGAGGTCATCGGTCAGTCCAGATTGCAGAACACCGGCTGTAGAGGGACCTGAAATTCAAAAACAATATTTAAAATCCATCTATATGATAGCTTGTAGTCCAATGTAAACCATACTCTATGAATTTGAGGTAGGGATTACTATCCAGAACAATTAACTAGTTCAGTGGTTCTCCACCATGTTTTTAGTAGGCCCCCAATTGGAAGAATAGAGACACCAGATTTATCAAGACCCAGTGCAACTATCTACAATAACTTGTTGGCAATAGGCATGGCTTTACTGAAAAGAGTTAGATGAAATTGCTTTCCAGAATTCAATTAGATTACGTTTGAAGATTGAGTTGCAAAGCTCAATCTGTGATAATTCAGATTTATAGCTAACTATATATTTTTCATCTATGCATTAGCTAGCAAATTATACCAATTATTGGTCATAATAGGTGCACTTTAAACATAACTAGTATATATTAATTTTGAGATGGTGGTGTCCCTTTAACAATAAAAGTTATTTCAAAGATTCTCCCACTTAGAGGGACATCACCTTGTAGAGCCAACAGACCAAACTCCAAAACTTCCAAATCGACATCCTGTCCAGCCGCTTTAAACTCTTGTAGTTTACTCTATATAGACAAAAAAAAAAGTTTTGACCAGAGAGGAGTATAATACAGAGGTGGTCAAAAGTCATATCTGCAGCAGGTGTTGAACTACAACTCCCATGATGCTTTGCCAGCCTTCTACAATTGCCAGGAGAAAACTTTTGGCCAAAGCAAGCTGAGCTAATGATCAAGAATTTACCTTCATGTGCGCAGAGTCCTTTTCTGCACAACCAGCATTAGACACAACATATAGAAAACCCTCTGAAGTGTTGTTGACAATAAGATCATCAATGATCCCGCCCTTGTCGTTAGTGAAGAGGGTCAGGGTGCCCTGAAATTGTGAGATCATGGAAGAACTTTTAGAAGACAGATGTCTCATTTATTAGCAGAAGAAAAATAAAGTACATAAACACTGCGATTCAACTTCCAATTAACAAACTTGTAGTAAATTTAAGTTGGATATCGTTCACTGACTCAAAAGAAAACAAGGGTCTGAATTTTTTCTATGCACACCTCTCTCATCATTGGCATTTTTCTCATAATTATCAGTCACCCAAAAAATAGCTCCTGAATGTAAGCAGGACGACAGATAACGTTCATTTTTTTTCAAACACTACTTAAAGGGTTACTCCAACCTGTGTATTATGCCCTATGGGAAATCTAGATAAGGTCCTCCCACTCCCAGTAAAAGCTGTCAAAAAGTTTTTCTCACCTTGAATCTGACTTTCATGTCCCCTCCGACATTACAGGGGAATTGCGCGGTCCAACTACAAACTTCTCATAAACTCATAGATTTCTCAGACTTCTCACAAAGAAGCCTGTGGTTTGATCACTTTGTTGGCTCAAAACTGATGTGCGTGCTCTGAGGTGGCGAGGGGAGGGAGGAGTTGCAACATATTTTGCATAGACCCTCATGGTGGTATTGCCACCTAGTGTACAGTACAAATCTAAGAAGCTTCAACCAGATCGGTCCTGATTTTCGCCTCCCAAGCCCCCACGGCCCCTCTCCCCCAATCACCACAGAGATACTCACCAACGTCTTGTCAGAACGCCGCCAAACGCTCTCCGCTGAGATCTCCCAGGTGATGGAGGATGTAAGGGGTTTACCGCACACCTCACAGCTGTGGAGCAGACCTCTCAAACCCACACCACTAGAGCTTCAGAAGCAGATACCTCTGCTCAAACTAAATTCACCCACTAACTGGCTGCCCTGGAAGCATGTGAAAAACATAGGCCTCTCTGATGGAGTGACCTCAGCAGAACTCCCACATTTTCTCTGTAGGTTGCTTGCAGCCCTCTTACCTCGAAAGCAAGCTAAAGGGTTACAGCTTGATGAAATGTTTCGCCTGCCTAAACCACAAATACCCCCAGGAACTACCACAAGTGATCTCCAGAGTAAGTTCCAAAACAGGCAAGATAAAGCGGCCTTCCTGAGTGCTACTAGGAAAATTACCTTCGATAGCTCAGCTGGTAGAGCGGAGGACTGTAGTTGGTATATGATAGCAATCTTAGGTCACTGGTTCAATTCCTTCTTGAAGGACATTGATAAAACTTAACAGGAAAGGTTAAACGATCTTAACATGTGTAGCTTGGAGTAAAGACGAGACAGGGGGGATATTTAGAAACAGAAACATTTAAATACATAAAGGGAATCAACACACTAAAGGAGGAGACTATATTTAAAAGAAGAAAAACTACCACAACAAGAGGACAGTCTTAAATTAGAGGGACAAAGGTTTAAAAATAATATCAGGAAGTATTACTTTACTGAGAGGGTAGTGGATGCATGGAATAGCCTTCCAGCTGAAGTGGTAGAGGTTAACACAGTAAAGGAGTTTAAGCATGCGTGGGATAGGCATAAGGCTATCCTAACTATAAGATAAGGCCAGGGACTAATTAAAGGATTTAGAAAATTGGGCAGACTAGATGGGCCGAATGGTTCTTATCTGCCGTCACATTCTATGTTACTAGGGGAAAGACTCCTTACTGATTTAAGGACATAGATATAACCTTTCTCGCAGAAACCTACAATTGGTGAAGTCTCTCCGACCCTTGACATCGACTCTAACCGTTTGTTCAGCACCAGAATACTGAACATAGGGTGTCAGATACACCAGAGATGGATGCTGCCCAGGGTACTTTAAGCTTAACTTCCTTGTCCACTTCCACAGCATGGGATCCAGCCAATGTTGTCCCATTCACTCCGTCTTCCAGTGGATCTTCTCTGGTGGCGATTACCTGACTTTCCTACTTTTTTTTTTTTCTTCTATTTTTGGTGGGTTTTGGCCTAACTTAAAGGAACACCACAGGGTCAGGAATATAAACGTGTATTCCTAACCCTATACTGTTAAAACCACCCCGGCCCCTGACGCACCTCCTTGCTGACATCAGAATTTATGATTTCAGCCAATCCAATGCTTTCCATAGAGAAAGCATTGGATTGGCTGAAATCTGCAAGAAGGCTGCATGGGGCGGGGCCAAATGCCAGCTTGGCCAATCAGCATCTCCTCATAAAGATGCATTGAATAAATGCATCTCTATGAGAAAGATTCAGCATCTCCATGCAGAGCATGTATACGCTGAACGGCAGTGCTGCAGCACTGTCCCAGGAAGCACCTCCAGTGGCCATCTGAGGAGTGGTTACTGGAGGTGTCCCTAATGGGCAACGTAAACAGTGCCTTTTTTTCTGAAAAGGCAGTGTTTACATGAAAATGCCTGCAGGGAATGAGTATACTCAGCCACAACAACTACATTAAGCTGTAGTTGTTCTGGTGACTATAGTGTCCTTTTAATTGTTATTTTATGATTATGTTTTGTATACGCTCTACCTATTATTATTATTATTATTATTGCCATTTATATAGCGCCAACAGATTCTGTAGCACTTTACAATATTATGAGAGGTGGGATTTAACTATAAATAGGACAATTACAAGACAACTTACAGGAACGATAAGGTGAAGAGAACCCTGCTCAAACGAGCTTGCAGTCTATAGGTGGTGGGGTATAAAACACAATAGGGCAGGAAATTGCAATTTAATAAGGTGGGAGTGAAGCAGAGCTGGAGGAGAGAGTAGAGTGCTGCCCTTTAGGAGAGAGCAAAAGACAGGTATGCAAGGTAGAGGTTACTCTGGGAGGCCATAAACTTTCCTAAAGAGATGGGTTTTAAGGCACTTCTTAAAAGATGCAAGACTAGAGGAGAGTCTGATGGCGGTAGGCAGGCTATTCCATAGGAAGGGAGCCGCCTGCGAGAAGTCCTGCAAGCGTGAGTTGGCCGTACGGGTGCGAACTACGGACAGGAGGTGGTCACAGGCAGAGCGGAGAGACAGAAAAGGGACATACCTATGGATCTGTGAAGAGATATAAGAAGGGCTAGAATTGTTCAGTACTTTATAGGTGTGAATTAGTACCTTGAATTGACTCCTAAAGGATACAGGAAGCCAATGTAAGGACTGGCAAAGGGGTGAGAGAACCGACTAGAGAGGAAAATCAATCTGGCGGCAGCATTCATTACGGACTGTAGCGGTGCAGTACGGCTTTTGGGATTGGGAAGACCAATCAGGAGAGGGTTACAATAATCCATGCGGGAAATTTCTAGAACATCGACAAGCTCCTTGGTAAAATCGTGTGTAAGAAAGGGGCGGATGTGGGCTATGTTTTTAAGATGGAATCTACAGGATTTGGCAACATACTGGATGTAAGGCCAGAATCAAGTATGACGCCAAGATAGCGCACTTGCAAGAAAGGACTGATGTGGGTACCAGTAACTTGAAGGGAGAGCGAAAGAGGAGGAAAGATAAGAAGCTACATTTTAGAGAGATCGAGTTTCAGAAAGTGGGGGGGACATCCAGTCAGAGATGGAAGAAAGGCAAGCAGTGACACGTTGCAGGACGGCAGGAGAGATATCTGGGTGTCATCAGCGTACAGCTGGTAGTGGAATCCAAAAGAGGTAATAAGTTTGCCAAGAGAGGCAGTATAGAGAGAAAATAGAAGGGGACCAAGGACAGAGCCTTGGGGGACTCCAACCGAGACAGGACGAGGGGAGGAGGTATCATTAGAAAAGGAGACACGGAATGAGCATTGGGAGAGATAGGAGGAAAACCACGAAATCCCTCTCTGCTGCACTCCCCCCTTCTCTCATCTCAAGCCCTGCACTAATTTCTCTATTCTCTCTCTCCTGCTTTAACTCACTCAATCTCATTCTAGCTCATATAAAACCCATTCACACCTTCTGTCACTATCTCTCCTCCTACTTCTAGCAGCTGGTGGGTGGACTAACACATGTAATTGTAACCAGACAACTGGATGTGCAGAAACAGAGAGGTGGAGAGGCCTGCTCAATGAGCTTACATTCTAGAGGGAGTGGGGTATAGTGACACAAAGGGTAAAAGTAGGGGTACAAAGTAGGTTGTTATAAAAGTATTCAGTGAGAGCTTAGTATGCTCATGGCATGACCGTTGGCCCTGAGGCCAACTTCATCTGAAACCGGGATTATCACAGATACAATAGCTTTAATTTCAACACCCACTCCCCCAGCTCCTGTCCTGTTCTTACATACTTCACTCATCTGTGAGCAGCTGTCTATTAACATTGATAGGTTTTCCTGTCTGTTCAATTATATAGCCCTATGCAATCTTTTTGATGGTTCAACTAGATATATGCTGCTAACAGCCTCTCTATATTTTTCTTTTATTCCTTAAAATGTGCAGTATTCTCGACATGTTAAGTTACTCTAACGTACTGATGCTTGTTTCTTATAGCCTCGCTGACATGATAAAAAGTGCCTGTATGTTATTCTTTGCACAACAAAAATAAAGAATTTCAAAAATAGCTAAGTGGAGTACATAGGTGAAAAGGAGGACTATTTTAAGTTCAATATTTTAACTTAAAAGTTTCAATTCCTATTTTTAGTATTTCACTCTGACTTAGAGGTAGCACTTTGACGGTAAAGTTAAAGTTTAATTAGCCAAGTTGGAAAAATAGCAGCATTTGAGAAATATAAATTTAACTGTCAATTAACTGTTGGTGATTAAAAGAGTAATGACAAATGTTACTGTATGGAAGAAACTATAAAATGTAACCTAATGAAAAATTATTTAACCTGGTTCTGCTTCAGCTCAGCAATGTCACCCACTACCAGGCTCTCCATGAAACGTATCCGATCCTTTCCATGAACCTTGGTCTGAAACAAGAGGACATATTTTATGTTGTATACCTTATCTGCTTACATCATGTTTTTTGGGGAGTTCTGATTATATCCCATAAAGCTCTGCTCAAAAGGAATTCATTGGATATGCAGTACAGCAAATGTTCCATTCTTAAAGGGGTACTCTATACACCATGACCACTTCATTGATTTGAAGTGGTCATGGTGCCTAAAGTCAGACACTAACCCTTCTGCTTCTGGAGGTGTTATTCCACCTCCAGCAGCATAACAGGGGAGTCAGCCAGTTGGAAAGTACAGTTCCAGGTGGCTACTGTTAATTCTATGCAATATTGACATGAGAGGCCAGCTGTGTGTGAGAACTTGGCCTTTGGCAAGTGAGAGTTAAGGTTTTTTTAACTTATTTTTTAAATCTTTATTTTTGCAATTGCAGATCGTATGGTAAAGTAACATTGTTAGGCTTGTGCAAAAGCCATATGATAGTACATATGTCAATTATGCATTACAGAAAGGAAAAGAAAGTCGAGTCGAGGGTTTTCTTCCTTGTGTGTTGGTTGATTTGGTTGCCCTCTGCCAGAGTTTAATTTTTTATAATTAAAGAAGAACAAAAAACAGAAAACAAATAACCTTAGGAGATGTTGTGTTTAACCTGTTATGTAGGAGTGGGATTGTGGTTGGTGCAGTGTTATTCAGGAGGTTTGTCAGTGTGTTTTTGTCGTGGGATGTGACGTGTACGTGAGGTGTGATCCGCATCCGTGTGAGTTGGGTTGGTAGAGATCCGTGTGGAGCAATGAAACAGTGATTGTATAGTCAGCGTTACATGTCATAATGACATTTTGTATTGGGTGTCATAAGAATTTAACTGTTTTAGTACATTTAATAAGTTTGCTATAGGTATGTTTATCTTATAATCAGATGCATTTTATATCCACGTTGCTTTGATTGCTCTGCAACCACTGGTTCTATATAGGTTTGCCTTTCCTCCCCCCCTCCCGGGTTTTTCAAGGTCAATAACTATTTACAATGACCAGTCCACTGGACATCCCCGCCCTCCAGGAGCCGTATATAGATTTATGGATGAGTAGCACACCCAATGGATCCCTTCCCACCACCACCTCAGCTGAGAACCATGCCGTGTACTCCATAGTTGCTCTAATTCTAGATTGGAAGGAGGTGTCTAGCGTAGAAATATACAATTACCATGTGAGGAAAAAAATTTTTACCAGAAGTTCCTTGTTGGTTAGGGTATGAAGCCAATCCATTTTAAAAAGGAACTTGAATTTGGTTAAGAATAAAGTAAGTGATGGACTGCCTGGCTGGTTCCAAACTTGAAGAATTGTTTTGCGGCCCACCGCTGCTATAATCATAGAGAAGCATCTATTAGGTATGGGGTCACCGCTTACGGGTCCCAACAATAGAAAACTGGGATTTAATGTTATGGGCTTCATGTTGTTGTTCGTTAAGTATTGAGTAACCGCTCTCCAGAAATCTGGATCGTGGGACACTCCCACAGACAGTGACACATCTGCTTTGGTGTGAGTGCATTTAAATCAGGTAGAGGAGTCCTTCCTTGCCATGAGGTGTAGTCTATGTGGCGTGAAATATGCATAGTGTGTGGTTTTCAGGAACATATCTCGATATGAAATCATGGGGAGCAGTTGACTTTGAGTGTAATGTGAGTTTAGGATGTTCTTAGGTGTGATGTCAGGGAAATTAGTCTTTCAGACCGGTCTGTAATGTGGTCCAATCGGATGTGTATCGTAGAAGGGCATAGAGGGTAGAGATGGAGTAAAATGCTGGGTTTGTGGTGCATAAAAGACGATCCAGAGAGTTACTCCAGTCGGAGGGCGTGAGGCATTGACTTATGTTGTAAAAATAATGTCGTACTTATGATGTCCGCTTACAGTCAGGCTCACCCCATCCTCTTCATGGCTTTCAGATCAATGTCATTCAAGGGAAGAAGAAATTTGACATTCTGCAGTTTGTGAGTTGGATTAAAAATCTGTGTCAAAATTCATGGAATGTGGGGTACGGTGTTAAAATGCAGCTTTAAAGAATGTGTATTCATGGGGTTAAGAGTGTCAATCACGGCGGAGCTTGCCAGCGCAGCCGAGCAGACGCCATCTATTTGGGATCCGATAAGCTAACTGATTCCCCGCGTCAAAAAGGACGAACCAGGGGCAATCCAACCCCAGTGACACCACCATCAGCTTGGGAAACTGACCCGCTGCCCACCGATGTCCTTCTTCCGAAATCGGGCAAATCTAAGCGCAGGTCCGGGGCCTACATTAGCTGGGACACGCTTCTTGGAGGTGCAGTACTTACCAGAGCCGACGAGATACCTCCAAAACCCCCAGAGTCCCACAGCAAACCCGGTGGACATGAGGCGCAAACAGCAAAAGCCCTTGCATGGAGATGTCCAGGACTCAAGGGACATAAGCACAATGCTGCAAAAGTAGGCACCATCCAAATTGGTGGCCGGGGAGAGCGGGAGCACGAGGAACAGCTCAGACAGGATGGAACACAAGGGGACACAGGCCACATTGGTGAGGGATGAAACGGACACCACACATCTTGACTCCATAACCAGCAACCTAGCCACTAAGCAAGAATTACAGACCCTCTTACTGAACATACAGAAACTACTGGCAGCGGACACAGCGGCAATTAAAAAGGACGTTCAGCAGGTCACAGACCGCGTCAGTGCCACAGAGAATGACATACAAGATATCCGCGCAGAGATATCAACCATGCAAAACACCCTAAGCAAACTTCAGTCCACTAACCAGGTACTTACCTCACACATTTCAGCGCTAGAAGGCCGCCACAGGCTTAATAACGTCAAGATTTGCGGGGTCCCTGACACAGTAACAGCAGAGGAACTGCGTATCTCTTACCTGGACCCACCAAGGCACAACCAGCTGCCCCCAGGGATATTATCCTCCGCTGCATATCACATCAGGACAAAGGACATTTGCTGACAGCCCTGAGGGACAAAACCCCATATACATTTGAAGGCTCCCAGCTCACGGTCTACCAGGACCTCACAAGGGCCACCCTACAATGGCGCAGATCTCTACAACCGATCACATCTCAACTACGCACAACAGGGATCGCATATAGGTGGGGGACCCCACGATCCCTACTGTTTTCACACGAAGGAGCCACACACAAGCTGGGAACTGTCTCCGAAGGACCAACGCTCCTGACCGCACAGGGTCTACACATGCCCACCGCTATCCCATCTGGGCCGCGGAACCCTGGAGGCTGGGATCCAGCTAACATCGTGATATTTGAATCAAGAACTGGTGCAGCCGCACCCCCACCAACCTGACTATATAACATGCGACAGAAAATCGCACCAAGGCTGTTACCCATAGTGTGCCTGCGTTTCCTTTATGTTTGCTTGTTTTCTTTCATGTTATCCACAAATGTTCTACAGCTCTCTCACACTCTTGACCACCCGGCAACCATGAAATAAATGCCCACCACGCTAACGCAGCATGAGCAATATAGCCTGACATGGCCTTAAGGTGCGTCAAATATACTGCACCTACGCGTGGTCACAGATCGATGATCCCCACTGGCAAGCAAATTTTATATACTCCCCTCGCCACCCCCATGGTGAGGGGCACCCCACGCAGAGGAGAACCCCAACACCAGAGGTGCTCAGCCCTACAGTACTAGCAAGGAGAAGGGCTACTGCCCCCCTCATAACACAATGGGCACCACCGGTCACACTCCTTATTTCACCACTCACTCTTACTCTACTCTCCCAGTTCAACATGCAAAACACAACCCTCATGCAATCTCTAGATCGAGTCCTGCATCACCCCCTCAACCTGTCATTTGTAAATGTAATCTCGACTCGTCTTACCTTGTTTAACTACCATATAAAACGGTGTTGATACCCTAACAAGTGATATGAACTTGTACCATCATCTTAACTGTCTTGCTGATGTCTTGAAGCGTTAACATGTCTATGCAACGCACCAACAAAATAAAGAATTAAAATAAAGTCGTACTTGAAAGTATGCGAACCAGGGTATGGGAAGGTCCGGGAAGCGCTCCCTCAGGCACCCCATGGTGAGAAATCTGTTTGTGTCAAACTCTGCAAAGGAACTCAGAGACCCGAGGCCCTGCCCTGACCACATCGTGAATGGATAGGTGTTGGATCCATCCTGGAACCCAGGGTTCCGGAGCAGGGGTAGATGTATGGAGCATAGCGGGTTTGCCCCAATGCTGGTCCGAGACATATTCCACGCCTTAATTGTGACAGCCAAGAGAGGGTTTGAGAGAATATCATCTGAAAGTAGGCTGTGTGGTTTGTGTAGGAGTACTGTCAGGGAATGCGGCTGCGCCATAAAAGGATTCCAGAGCTAGGTCTGAGTAGCGTGACTGCGACTGGATCCAATCGAGCACATGCCAGAGTTGGGCCACCATACTGTATTCACTGGCGTTTGAGAGATTAAGTCCTCCGTTGCATTTGGTTTGGTGAAGTTTAGTTAGGCTCAGCCTGGCCCTCGATCCCTGCCAGAGAAAGTGCCTCAGTTTTTTATTTAGAAGACATTCATCTTTTTTGGAGAGTAAGACTGGGAGTACGTGAAGCGGGTATAGTAGCTTTGGGAAACTAACTAGTTTATAGAGATTGGCCCGTCCTATGTAGGAGAGTGGCAACTTGTGCCAGTGTTCCAATTCATTAAAAATGAAGGAGAGAACAGGAGGAATGTTTAGTTTGTACAGTTGGCCTATGTTTCTTGGGATCTTGATCCCTAGATATTGTAAGGCCGAGGTTTGCCATTTCAGTGGGACCCCCCTCGGTAGCCTAGGAGACGATCCCCTCCCCAGATGTAGCGCACAGGATTTCGACCAGTTAACTTTAAGTCCTGCCAGGGCATGGAATTTGTCAAGTAGGTCAAGGATAGGTGGTATGGAGGAGGTTGGCTCTGAGAGTATGTCGTCGGCAAAGGCAGAGACCTTCATATTGACATCTCCCAGGGGGATGCCCTTGAAGTCCGGCATTGATTCAATGGATTCAGGGGGTCTATAGCTAGGTTAAATAGTAGTGGTGATAGGGGGCATCCCTGTCGTACCCCCCATCCCAGCGTGAAATATGGGGAATCCAGTCAATTTGTTGTGATGCATGTGGTTGGGTTGGGTTGCAGGTTTTTAACAAAGGTCACAAAGATGTGCCCGAAGTAGCGCAGCTTGAGGGCGCGTATCAAATGTTGCCAAGTGATGCTATCGAATGCCTTCTCAATGTCGAGGCTGATGAGGGAAGACGAGGGGAAGCCCACCTTCCCCCCCGTAACACCCGTCACAGCCGCCAACGCCCTCCGGACACCCGTGATCATCTGTCTTCCCACCACGAACCACAGTTGGTGACCCGTGAGGGCCCTGGGTAAAAATGATTGAACTCTTGAGGCTATGATCTTAGTGAGAATTTTGAGGTCCATATTGAGCAACGATATAGGGCGATAAGACGTATCCCTACCTAGTTTCGGTATTAGCACGGTACGTGCTTGGTTAAGGGAGTCTATTGAGAGTCCTCTCAGATAGATTTGGTCAAAAAGGGCTTTAAGGGTGGGGCTGATCTGGTGTTTTAGAGTTTTGTAATATTCAGCGGTATAGCCATCCGGGCCTGAGGCTTTACCCGATTTAAGAGAAGCAATACCTATATGAATTCTTTTTCAGTGATGGAGGCGCTAAGTAGTTCCCGGGAGTCCTCGTCTATGTGGGGTAGGTTCAGATTTTTAAAAAAAAAAAGCCATACCCTGAGCATGTTGATCAGTCGGAGCTGTCGATAGTAGTTATGAAAGGCTTTATTAATTGCTGCGTGAGCGGTGGACCGGATTAGCTAAATACCTCGTATGAGCTTGTTTGAGATCTGCCTCTAGGACTGCGTAGTCCTCTGCCATTTTCTCTTAGTGGATGAAGTGTATGAAATTATCTGTCCCCTCATGACTGCCTTGGAAGTCTCCCAGAGTAGTTTTGGCTCTTCCACGTGTTCCAGATTGTCATCTAGGAAGTTTGCCCAGTGGGTCTGTAAGTGAGTCTGAAACGATTGCTGAGTCGTGAGATATACAGGGAAGCGCCAGTGTTTAGTGTGTGGAGGAGTTGGAGGTGTGGATATTGTCATTGTGATAGGTGCGTGGTCAGATATCACGATCGATTCAATGGCTGTTTTTGATATATATGGCAGGAGTGTTGGGGTCACTAGAAACATATCTATTCTAGAGAAGGAATTGTGCACTAGGGAGTGAAAGGTGTAGTCCCTTTCATTGCCATGGAGTATCCTCCAAGGGTCGTGTAAATTATAGGTGGACACGAGGTGGGAGAGACTGCGGTCACTGTCTGTGGGAGGAGTCACACCTCTTGAGGATCTGTCCCTGCCTGGCTCCATTACCACGTTGAAATCCCCCCTGACTATAACTTTATCTACATCTATTTGAGCAAGCAGGGTCAGAAGTTTTGTGAAGAAAGGGCCCGGTGAAGAGTTAGGGGCATAAACATTCACAATGCAGTAACAGATTGAGTTGACAGTAAGACATAATATTACGTATCGATCCTCCGGGTCAACCTCGCATCTGTGTATTGTGTATCGAAGGCTTGAGTGCAGAAGATCACCACCCACCGTGTTTTAGATTTATATTTAGCTGTAATACAGGACTGGATCCAAGGTGCTTTAAGCTGCGTGTCAGACCATCGTGACCAGTGAGTCTCCTGTAGAAGGGTAACGTGCGGTTGCTGTTTAGTTAAATGTGTCAAAATCTTCTCTTTATGGGTGTGTTTGCCCCTTTTACATTCCAGGAGAGGAATTTGATAGCAGAAGTAGAGAAAGTTCTTGGGTGAGAAGACATTCGTGTCCTAGCCGATACCGGGGAAGTTGGTATAGCTGTGATTGGTAGTATAAAAAGGGGACTCTGTCCATCCCAGCCCAAGCGGACGGAAAATCCCAGAGTAAGAGGTAGGCAAGGAGTCCAGTGGATCTGGTGTGTAGTAGGCCAAGTGGCACAAACTATATACAGATAAGTAAACCAAATAACACTTAGAGATGATGGTTCATCACTCCTCCCTACGTGGTGAGGATCCGGCCGAGTAATTTGGTGAAGGTGCTCCCCAATTCGGGAGAATATTCTGAAGAAAGGTGGTGGCCTCTGATACTGAAGATGTAGATAAAGTATGATTTGCGATACGTAAGTGTAGAGTGGCAGGGTACAGCAGGGCAAATCTTATGCAATGCTGAGCAGATAGGAGTAAAGGCTTGTCTCCGCTGTGTGACTTGTACAGAATAATCTTTGAAGATTAGAATTCTTTTGTCTTGATAGGGGAGTTGGGGCAGTTGCTTATAGGCTGTAAGGATACGAACTGTATCATTGAAGTTGAGAAATTTTGCTATTATTGGTCGTGATTTAGTGGCGTCAGTGAGCCTATCGGGCCCTAATCTGTGTGCTCGTTCAATAACAATGGGCGTGGGTATTGAGCTGTAGGGTGTCCTTTAGCCAGCCTTGTAGAGTGGGGATAATGTCAGCCGAAGTTAACGATTCAGGGAAGCCCACAAACCTTAGATTGTTACTCCTACTCTGATTTTCGAGATTGTCTAATTTGTCCTGTAGAGTTGTTAAAGTATTGTGCTGTCTTCGTATGGTCGATTGTAATTGGTGTAGTTCATCTTCAGTTGCGCTTTGTCCGGTTTCTAGTAGAGTGATTTGGGTGGAGTGGGATTAGAGTAAATGGACTGCATTATCAATGGATTCTTTAATGTCCCTGAATTGGGAGTCAAAGATCGGTTTGAGGAGATTTGACACTTAAAGGACCACTATAGTGCCAGGAAAACATACTCGTGCCCCCACCCTCAGGGTCCCACTCCCGCCCGGCTCTGGAAAGGGGAAAGGGGTTTAAACTTACCTTTTTCCAGCGCTGGGCGGAGAGCTCTCCTTCTCTCCTCCTCCGTTCTGCCCCGTCGGCTGAATGCGCACGCGCGGCAAGAGCTGCGCACGCAATCAGCCGGTCGCATAGGAAAGCATTTACAATGCTTTCCTATGGACGCTGGCGTGCTCTCACTGTGAAAATCACAGTGAGAAGCACGCAAGCGCCTCTAGTGGCTGTCAATGAGACAGCCACTAGAGGATTACGGGGAAGGCTTAACCCATTAATAAACATAGCAGTTTCTCTGAAACTGCTATGTTTATTAAAAAATGGGTTAACCCTAGCTGGACCTGGCACCCACACCACTACATTAAGCTGAAGTGGTCTGGGTGCCTAGAGTGGTCCTTTAAATTAATTTTTTTAAAGTTTGGCAGCAGGGCTAGTGGTACTTTAACCAAAAACAGTGTATTCTTAATATACAGTTCTGCTTGCAAATATGAGCAGCAGAAGACATTATGTTACCTGTAACATGTGGGAGACATCGAACAAAGAGCAGTGTTGGCGGGTGTGCAGGTGGGAGGCGATGTGACTATCCTTATATTGCACTGGAAGGCTCCACCCAGCAAATTCCACCATCTTTCCACCATGATCGCGGTGAAAGTTGTACAAGGGAGTACGTTGAGGAGCATCTGTCTGCGATGAGAGTTTAAAAGGCTTGTTTACTTGGCATGTCTCAAATCAAAGAATTTTAGGAAGGTAACACAGAACATTGATTGATACAGACCGTACGCTCCTCTGAGCAGTACACTTTCCACCTTTTCATTTAGTTTTGATTCCCGTTGTACAATGCCGCTGAATAGGTTGGTGCTATGTAAAAAAAATTATTTCATAGAGCCAACATCAGACTGTGACTTGAACTTTTCCAGGATTATCTTGTGAACAAAAGGTTTTAACCCCTTAAGGACAGATGACGGAACTATTCCATCATGATTCCCTTTTATTCCAGAAGTTGTGTCCTTAAGGGGTTAGGGAGTTTACGAAAGGCTAAGCAAGCCCAAGAACTACAGGTGTACTAGCCAACCCATCTTGGAAAAGAAACACCAAAAACATAAGTACCATGGCCTTATTTGCTACTATAATTTGTGGAGATCTTATGTAGAAATTACAGCTGACAACAAACCTAAGCTACATTGTACCCTGGATTACTATGGCACAACTGGCACAATACCTTGTAGCTGAGCACCTCAGTTCGCATTTAACCCCTATAAAAAAAAAAGTCAGTAATTTAAGGGGTAAAATCAATGGAGAATCTACTTGAGGCAGCTTAAAAGATGCTCAATGCAATGAAAACCAACATTTCTAATACCCTAGCATAATGTTTTTAGCCCTAAAGAATATGTTGGTAGTTTTTTACATAAACACTTGAAATAATCTGACGTATGTAAAAATAGAGTTTAATGTTGGAATGTGATGGCACTTTGGGTCAATTTCCAACCTGTGGTCAAAATATTCTGAATAAGCAGGGTGCATGAACAGCAGACAAGTTTCCGAATACCAGAAGAAGGTGCTGGGCACACCCCAGGCACTCAAAGGGTTAAAGACCAACACCCATCCATTTCGCCCAAAATAAGCAGTTCTTTAAAGTCACTGAGATGGGAGATCTTGTATATTTAGCATTAGCAGGGCACTAGAGAGTTACTGCTGGTAGATAAACCGAGCATTCTGAGCTGACATTGGGGAATAGATTGTGTTGATGGACTGTACTGGTCCTTAACGAGTTAAAAAATACATTCCAGTATACACTGTTTATAAGCTGAACTTGCCACATCTGTTAGGCAGATGCAGTAACTGCTCATCCGTGCCCTTCATTAAGCCAATTACAGCCCAGCTTTCCTCGATATATAGCACCCAGACTGTGAACGGTCGCACACCCCATTGCTCTCTAAAGTGGTCTGTCAATCATTTTGACCTATATAGACATTTACCTAGATCTCCAAGATCCACCGGGTTTTACTGGACACATAGACTGCTGTGCTGCAAGGCAGTACATGAAAAGTGCTACTCAAAATCTATACATCCTTTGCAGCACAAGGGATATCAATTAGCTAATCAAACAGCTTCTTTAAGATTCCTCCCTATTAATAATTTAAATCTGGAATCACATGAATTTAGCATACTGAAGGGCAGTCCTTTTCATATAATTCCTTATAATATGGTGAAGTAATATGTCCCCATTAAAACATGATGGCTCTAAAAGCAATACCATTACCAGTGAAACAGATAATGGCTGCCTTCCAGCAGGACTTATCTGTATATGTATTACACTGTAGCAGTAAAAGTCATCAAGTTGTGGCTGAACAGTTATTTCTCTGTCTAGGCTGTAAACAAAGAGAGACACAATAAAATTAATTGTTACCCTGTTTCCTAGCCACTACCAGCAGCAATGCCAATCTAGTCTTTATCCAAACCACTAGTGTCAGCCTCCCCCACTCATTAGCGCCTGAATTCCCTAATAAATCTGACTAAGAACATTCCTTTAGTCTCCCAGGGCCACAGTCCACAAACTCAGATAATCTGAAACCTTTGATCTTAGCTGTGTAAAGCATGAATTGAACTTGCATAAGAGCAGTGTGGAAACACTACACCTGCTACTAGTTTCACACCTCTTTGCAAGTGTCCCCCCTTTTCATGACACTACATAGAAGGTATAATAATGACTAAAGATGCCTCTCTTGGCATGGTCTGTGGACTAGATTCAATGCAATGCTCAGCCAACATAAATATTGACTGAGCATCATAGGAAATGTAGTTCAAAATATCCCATCACTGCTGTTCTCCTGTGATTTGATAGCCAAAAGTGTCAAAATCAATATTACCTTTAAATCAGTTACCCCGCCCACAATATGCAGTCTTTTCTAGCAGCTTTGTAACAAATTAATTGAAACCCTCACCAATCAACAGAAGTAGTTTAAAGTAACAAGGTGAACTTTCTCTTAGCAAACATACTTTTTCCCCCTTTGTAACAAATTATTTCTATTTTGCTGAGCCAGCAGTTCTGGGCTGCTCTGATAGAAGAATTCCCTGTGCATGCTGTTATAAAGTTTGCACACTGCTTCCCCTTTTAGTGTGAGGGGCTCTCAGTACCTGTCCACTGGAGAAGCTCCTTTGTTGCCGATTCCCCCCAGTGATCCCGACTCCTCTCCCGATTCTTGCCCCGAGCCCCCGAACCAACTGCATCCCAACTAAAGCCAACAAGTCGCACTGCGCATGCTCGGCAGCACACCTACTTACTGCACTGCGCATGTGCGAGTGAGTTAGCGCTCAGGATTTACACCTGCTCACTGTTATTTCTAGTCAAGATCCCACAGCTTCCTTTCAGATCTGGGATTTATAAGGCTTTCAAACACACACAAAAAAAATTTAATCTTCTTTTACAGGCAATCTAGGGTGACAGCTAATCTTTATTTTTTAAATTAGAGAAATTTTAACGTTTGCTATTTTAGCCTCACTTTTACCAGCCCTCTACTATCTCCATATGTTCTTTTAGGCAGTGGCATCAAACTGAGGACATTATGTATCTCTATAAAGAAAAAGTTTATGAAAGTGTCGCAAAGTTCTAAAAGTGGAATCATGACCACAAAAAACAGAATAGGTGAATGCATATCAGGCTACCTGCCAATCAAGCAGGCTTGCATGCCAAGTGCGGACTACATAGGGAGCACTTTGCGCACACTTTGTGTGCATCTAATGATGCTAGTATAGCACAAGCACTTTTAATTCTGCGCTTGCACTACGCTTTTTGGGGACAGTTCTCTGGGACAGCAGGACACTACGGAACAAAGTCACAACAGAACGTGAAATGAAAACTGTCCCTCTAAAAGAAGTCTGCATGCACTTTGCTTTTGAAACTTTACTTTGACTTACAATGGTTCCAACATGATACCTATTTTTGATTTCATGATCCATGCTAGTAAAACAATCTGTATCAGTGGTGGCCAAGATACTGGTTTCCATCTGCTGTAGACATACATCTTCCATGATATTTTGTCTGCCTTAAAGGGGTATTCGAAGTACTATAAGCCTGTCCACTGTCAGAATGTCAGCTGATGTTTTAGTGATTTTATTAACAAAACAACATATAATAATACATAATACTACCTGTATTAGTCTTCAATCGTACTGCAGAGATTAAGAATACTGACATTTCACAATATCGGTGCTGAAGTATAGCAATGTTATTTATAAACCCTTACCAAGAAAGTAACAAAAAAAAAAAACACCACTGTGAGCAGCACTTCATGTAGTCAGAGAATGACGGCTGCTAGACAATATGAGTGTCATATGGCTAGGTAATCCCCAATACCATTCAAATAGATTAGATCGATCACGTTTAGAATGTGGGTAGTTGTAGGATTCAGATGAAAGCCTTGAGCAATCCAAAAGGAACTGGTTTTAATATTACTAAAAGAAGGGGATGCAGAGATTCAGTAAATTGTATAACTATTTATGTGTATCACGCTTTATCCACATCACTTCCAGAACCAAAAATAAATGTTTTTACTTTGATGTAAACATTTTATTTAGTGCATAACACCTCACTCATTTATACTCGAGTCATGATTACCAGGCTAAAGAGGAACACATTTCTCTTTTAGAAGCCACTAATCACTGATTTAATGCCTGCAAGTGTGCTGAAAATGTCAGCTCGCTCCTTGCTGCCCAACAGTACAGGGAGTTCCAATGGGTGATATCATTCCTACAGGTGGGGAGTGACTGACTGGATTTCACTGCTAGCATTACATCAGCATTCCTAGAGCACTTATAAATTCCTTTACTTTAAAATAGGAGTTAACTGTTTTTAGTGCATGTGTGCATTACGCATGAATGTAGTCATTCTCTTTACATGCAGTTATCATGTTTAGTAAGTTGTACTGCTAGAAATGCCATCAGGGACTTTACAAGGTATGCCTATAAGGTATTTGGCCATTTTATCTATTTTGTCACACCTACCATGTGTAAGAAAACAAATATTTTTACTTTCCTTTAGAATGATCCCATTGTGAATTTGATAAGTTATTTGGTTTTGCTTTCCCAATCAGGTTTGTATTCCAGATCCTTATAGCAAGTCATTTAGGCAATGTGCATTAACTATTGAAATTACAAACATGTATCACACGTTCTATGATAATGCTTTAATTGATAAGATGATACACAGTAAGGCACATAAACAATAAATAAAATTTTTAACAACTTGGTAATTTCCTTAAACACACCTGTGATTAAACAGTGTTTAATTAAAAAAAAAAAGTTGCCTACATAATAAGTAAATTTCCCCAGTTTTAAGTACTGGGTGTATATTATTATCGGAGCTTTTAGTTCAGTCCAAAGGGAGAAGGAGAACATGATGAGTTAGATCATTTTGCATCTTAATAAGCCATAACAGAGATGTATACTCCACAGTCAAAATATCCTCAGTTGTTCCAAATGCAAACAGAATATCACCAATCCTCTTTTATTCCACACAGTGGGCGTGAGTACTTAGATGTTAGCCATTCTCCAGTTCAAGATGCATAAATTAGAATAAAACAATTGTCATATTCCAAAATATAGAGTTGAAGGCTATCTGTATCTGGAATCCTCAATGGTCTAAGTGTTCAAGGTGGGACATTGTATGCCATGATAGCTCTACAGTTATATTTGGAAAAGATATTCTGATGAGATTCCAACAAATCACAAAATTTCTTGTTTCTTAAATTCTATGATGTATATTACATTTAGATCTGCTTGACCTTTCTGCAGTTTTTCAGGTACTCTTTATGCTGATATTGGAATAGATAACTGCATGCACTGTAGAAAAAAAATAATTTTCACTGATGTAGTTCTAATTTTTCAGTTTAGATCTTTGAGGTAAGATAATTCGTAGTACATCTACAGCCAAGTATTCACTCCCCGTGTTTCCTAGATTTTGTTGTCCAGCATGTTAAGAGTATGACAGAAGGTTGATTTCATAACACCCATCAACCTGGTGGAAAAAAAGCAGAGTTTAAGTCTTTTAACAGACCACATTTTCCTTAAACCTATCATACATCAGATAAATAGTTTTTGTCTCACTATACGCAATTTTATTAGTCTGCTATGTTAATATATCATGGATTTTTTTATTTCTTCATGTTTGGAAAAAAAAATCATTTTAATCAGTGTAGTAGCAAACCTAGTCCTTCATTCATACACAGCATAACATAGTAAGTGAGTATGTTGGCTACCATTTATAGTGGAATATAGCCCTCTATCCTAGTGAATTAGGGAGATAAAGCAAGGATCCACATATGCAGTGCTCCAGTGTAGTCTGAAAAGTGCATGATATGCTATCATAACCATCTATTTTGTCAATGTTCACAATTCTGTATTGTGGGAGAGCCCTGAGGGAGATCTGTGAAGGTGCAAACAGATCTAAGCTTCCTTTTTGTAGTTTTGTAAAACTGAAGCCATAAATGTTTTGTGCCACCACATATGGTGGGACTTCCACTGCTTCAGAACTCTTAATTCTAACAAAATTTGAATACATTACATGTGAGGTTATTGGCAAACTGATATGGACAGCTGATAAATTTGTATATAACTGTCTAAAATAGCAATGCACAATCAAGGCTGTGGATGCTGATGTGTGCCCATGCCTGATCGGGAAGTAAAATGAACAATTTACTCACATCAAATCTCCCAATGCTTGCAGTGTTCTGATTGGCCCTCATCACTTCTGTCAGCACCCACATCTGCTGCACTTCGCTGGATACTTTATCTGGATCTGGCAGCCCCTATAAAACAAGAGTGTAAACATTAGGAACAAAAGGGCTGGAACTGGTATATAGAACCTTTCTACTGAGACAGACAATCTGTATTATTCCACAATAGCACAGAAGAGATTTAGGATTATGATAATTTGCCATACTGGTGGTATAATATACATTTTTATTATACAAATCTCAAAAAGATAGCAGATTTTGGTTAATAGCTGAAGAAGCACCTAAAACTGAAGAAAATAATAGCCAGCAATTCTGCATTTTGGGAAGGAATTGTCTATGAAAAGAAACAACAGCAATAGCCCAAGCAGTAAGCATGGTAACCTTAGAGCAGTTGTTCATAACCATTTTTTACCAAGTGTGCAAGTAATATACATGGCAGTAAACATTGGAACCAATATATAAACATGACATAGTCTGCCCACCAGGAATTAATTTCACTCTCAAGTGGAAATTCACCCTGGTGTGGTCTTGGGCTGTTACATTTATGGTCACTGGTCCTTTTGGATCTCTACCCATATTATGGTTTAAAAAAAATCCATGTAGAAAACAGGGCCCATTGCTAAATGTACCAGAAAAAATGCTGTCAAGTCTGAAATGCCTATATGTGTTCAGTTGAATGTCAAGCTGGGAACTCTGGGATAATTGTAAAAACATGGTTTATTGAGTTTCTGTGCCCACGGGGGTCTTTCAAAAGTCCAATTTGAGATATGCAGGTGATGCACAACAGTAGTTTATATATTTTCTTACTTCTTGAACAACCCAGTTCTTACCTTCTGTAAGCTCTGAAGTTGTTCCTTACCGGGTAGTTGAGACAACAACCATGAAAATCCTTTCTGCGGACTCTGAAATTCAGAAAACATTGTATTATTCTTCCTATTTTAACAGTTAAAAGGGAATATATATATGATCCCAAGACAATTCATCTTAATGAAGTAGTCTTGGTGCTGTACCCCTGCAACTGAAAACATTATTGTTTTGCAGGAATGGCAATGTTTTCACTGCCGGTTTAATTCTCCTCTAGTGGTTGTACATCTAACGCTATAGTGTTCTTTTAAAGTTTTATTTTTAAAGCTTGGATATACATTGATGTTGTTAGAGCCTTTTTTCTAGTGTGTTTATATTAACAAATTTTTGCTCAGAACAGGGGCATGGGTCAGTGTCTCCAATTTAGATCGACATCAATGATTACTTCTGGGACCTTTCCTCTTTGAAACTTCAATCTTTGTATATGTGCCCTTTTCTGATTAGAACTATGTGTAAAATTAAACATGAATGGATTTGTGTAATCTCTTTTCTCATTCTCAATAATATGCCATGTTGAAAAGTGCAACATAACTTGTTGGGATTTTAAAGAATTTTAGAATCCATTGACACATTGTGCTAGCAATGCAGCCAGTGTGCCAGCATAAACTAGTTATACCCTCTTTAAGATGGGTAAATTTACATTCCAAGCAGGGGTAATCTGGCAGGAGACAATTGATAAAATTAGAGTGACCATGTGGTAGGTGTGACACTGTACCCATACCACCCAGCAATGGACCGGGGATGGGTGGACAAGAAAGGGAGCAATGAGAATAAAAGGGTTAATGTCAGTCTGTTGTGACATCTGCTATGGCTGACGCTACTCTGGGCAGTCTATGTGCAGAGCACTTCGCAAGTGCTCTGTGCATGTACTCAATGCTCGGACAGCACTCTGCACTGTCCAAGCAAGTCTAATGATGTGCTCATACTGTGCAAACTGAGGACATTTACCCAGTGTTTCCAGATATGGAACACCAGGAAGCCATTCTAGGACAGAAACTCAAATCTGAAACAATACTGGCAGATCCAGGAGAAACAGAGAATCATGGCATTGTAGACATTATTGGAGAATGGGTAAGGATATCACTCCTAAGTAACGCAGTATACAATTTATCTTTATAATTTATTGTATATTTATGATAAATTATATATTGTATAAAAAGGTACTTTATGTACCACAACGACTACAGCTTATCCTAGTGGTTATGGTGCAAAGCGTCTTGAGTACTTTGAGAGAATATCTGGTTTTCCTGGCAAGTACAGTCCAGCTCCTCTGCTGCTGTTTTGCTAATGCAGTTGTGAATCTTCGCATTAGCATGTCTGACTGTGGAAAGGCTAATATAGAAGTGAACTTCATCATTCTGTGTTAGCTGAACCACAAAGAAGGATTTGGCTTTATGTAGGAGAGAAAACAAACTTAGGAAGACATTGCCCAAAGACAATCAAATATAGGGACTATAAATCTTAGGTGGACTTTTTAAATTTGTATCTAAATAGATAAGGTCCCATACTTGCTTCCCTGGAGGATTGATCTGCAAATCTTCAACAGTAAAGTTTAGCCAAACAGGTGACGGTTGTCGTAAAATCAGGCGAATGGCTATGACATGATGTGTGTTGCAGAGCATCTGGAAAATAAAAATAAAAAAACATTAAAAAAAAACTCAAAAAACAAAACAAATGTAATGTAATGTCACAGAGAATAAATAAGTGTAAATCCTATTCTATGAGATATCAAATTACAGGTGTCATGAAACGTCAAAGGATTTATGAAATTTTCAGAACGGGTGAGAATCAAGGATGTTTGCCACACTAGCTAGAAACTTTTCCATTGGGTATTCCACTTTCAGGCTCTTGTTTCCATCCATTTTGTTAGTTTATCTCTATGCAAGTCTTTTTTTTCTACTTCACTTTGTTTCTCTCATTATCTTTTTAGTGTTTTTATATCTCTTTTCCCCTAACTTATCTCTGTTAGCTAGTTTCAAACGGTTTTTTTACATTTATTTATTTAATTCTAATACAATGTACAATATAGTGTTACAGGGACACTAACTTTAGCTTAGTGAATGAGTTCTAGTGTACAGGTCATGCCTCTGCAGTCTCGGTGCTCAATCCTCTGCCATTTAGGAGTTATATTTCTCTGTTTCTGTTTGCCATAGTTAAAGAGAAACTCCCCTGTCCAAATAAAAAATAAAATAATAAAAAGTAAAATAGCTGTCTAATGGGTGAAAGGATGCATGAATTTAATTATTTTGCAAGCCCTCCTCTTCTAACCCACCCTGCACTGTCTGTGGCTCTCCAATTACAGACTTACCAATGCAGCTCAATTAGAAATATTCGCAAGGAAGGTGATCTGGGCAATTGTCTCCCGCTTGAGTTTAGGTCAACTGAGCTAAACAAACCAGGAAGTAATAGGACTGGTTGTCTGACAGCCATGGGGACATAACAAGGTTAATTTATAAAAGTACAAAATTTCTATTGAAATCTACACTACTTTTGTAAAAGGTCACCCTTTTTGCATGAAAAAGAAAAAACACACTCTTCACACATAAAGCACTTCAACATGCTGAAGTGCTTTAGGAGTATAGGGTGTCGCTTTAAATACATTGTGCAGTAAGGGAAGCTAAAAAGTTCAGTCTCCTTTGAGGATGTGTGTATGGAGCCTGTGTGAATCACATGCAGGGAGGTGTGGCTAGGGCTGCATAAACAAAGAGATTCAACATCTATGTGGCAGATAATTTAGTCCACTGTTTTTATTTTAACCGCTGTCTCTCAGTTTAATTTCACCACCTTTAGATCACACAGTCTATCTCCAGACTACACTGAATATAACACACACCTGTACTCTTTGGTTCTCAATCAGTCTTTTTCTTCCTTACTTCACCCTCCCTATTCTCTCACTAATATATATTTTTTCACCCTCCATTAGCATTCTGCAGTGTTTCTCTTGCTTCGGAGTCAGTTATGTGTCTATGTAGCTGCTAGTGGTGATTGGAGTTGTGTGCAGGTGCCCAGGTACAACAGGTCAGTAATTAAAATTTGGGGCTGAATGTTCATGATGGAAGTTGTGTGTGGGGGAGCTGCACTTGAGTGATGGGTGTGGAGCAGAATATAATATAAGCCATAGGCAAGGTACTAGTTTGTAACCCACTTTCATTCTGCTCTGGAGTGTGTGTGTGTCTGGGGGTGGGCAGTCTATAAGACTATTTTAAATATCTTTACATTGTGTTTCAACTGCATGTATTGAATTCCTTCAGTCTAAAATAGTAACACTATTCTCATCATTTGTAAAATGTATTGTTTTATATAAAATACATGAATAAGACATTACTCATTACTTCTCTTTTGCCTCTCACCTGGTTCTTCTGTATAGATACATAGTCTTGGGATCCCTCTTCCATATGAGGATTTGGCATCAGCCGCATATTCATGATACAGGTGCGCCACGCTGGAGGAGGATTTCCACGTGACTCCGCAGGTCTCCTCTGCTGGATCCGCATAGTCAGAAATGCTGTATAGTAATTCTTAAAGGTGATCTCCTGCAGCTTAGAGGTGACAGTCACACTGTGTTAAAACACCTTGCTACTCATTGCATTCTCAAAGACATATATAATAAAGGCCATTGATAATAACTTAATGCCAAATACTCACAGATACACTCACTCACAGACACATACAAATTATTCATATTTTTAAAATTTACAAATGTCCACCCAGCCTCCCTACCTGGAAAGCTGGCGTGGACCTGTCCCTGGGGTCCAGTGGGGCTGGCGGCTGTCTACCTGTCAGACGCGGCGAGGGAGCTGTGTTCTCTCTGATCTGCTCCCTTGTGCCGCGCGGGCTGTCTACTGATGCCGGGAGCCGTAATATGGCGTCATATTCCGGCTCCCGGCATCAGCAAACGGCACACGAGGGAGCAGAGCTGGGAGAACACAGCTCCCTCGCCGCGTCTGACAGGTAGACAGCCACCCGCTGGGGGGGTGGGGGTCTATCAGTTGCCCCCCCCATGACAGGGGGAACACGGGGGAACTTTGGGGGTGGCATTTTTTTGCCGCCCCCTGGTTAGTACCTGCAGGAGCAATGAGAACGGCGTTCCTGCTGTGAAAAAAAGTATAAGGTATAAGATTTCCACTTCTTTGCAATAAGGGATTTTTACTTTCTTTTTTGCTGTCCAAATTGTTTGAAGTGCTCTACTTCCCATATTTAGCTTTTGGATAGGTCCTAAGTTACAGCTGCTCTACATAGCACTATTTTCAAATATGTTAATGAGGCTATTATTATTATACCGATAGCAGCAAAAGTTTCAGTTTAAACAGCAGTTCCCCTTAAAGGGACACTATAAGCACCCAGACCACTTCAGCTCATTTAAGTGTTCTAGGTACAGTGTCCCTACTGCACTTAGTTCTGCAATGTAAAACATGTGGTTTTAGAGAAACTGCAATGTTTACATTGCAGCACAAAGTCAGCCTCTAGTGGCTGTCTATCAAACAACCACTAGAGGCACTTCTTGGATGTAAACAGACTTTTGGTCTGATAACTGACACTGGACATCCTCACGCTGTGCATGAGGACATCAAACGTCAGCTATTTCCCCCTAGGAAAGCATTAATTCAATGCTTTCCTGTGGGGTGAGCCATGACCCAGTGCCGAGGGACATCAGCGCTGGGATCGGGTAAGTTAATAAATGTTTTTTAACCCTTTATTAACCACCGCAGTGATGGGGGGAGGGCATGAGGGAGGTGGGAGGCAGAGGGTGTTATAGTTCCAGGAATACAGCTAGAGTATCCCTTTAAGAGACGAATGTGACTACTGCTTAAGTTTAACATTTATGAGATAACATCTGACCCCACAGGTCAGGATGCTGATATGTCGAGGTTCTTCCTAGTCTTGCCTGTGCAAGTGCAGCAGTATCAGGAACTTTTCAGTTGCATATCTTTTTTTATTATTGTTATTTTAAATTTTTAAAATTAATTTATTTCCACATTTTAGTGTATAATTTATATAAAGCATTAAAAATAGGGATCAATTAAAACCCAGAGTGTCCTTTTAATGTATACATTTGCTAACATTTTATCCCACACAGTACAGTCCCGAGTGGGGTCCTGAAAAGCCCTAGATCAAATTTTGGCAAAATGTTCTGATGTTAATCAGAAAAAACATGCAACGTTTTGGTCTCAACTGAGATCTTTTTCAAGCTTGGACCAGATAAGAGTGTGGATTCCTACTTTTGTTTGGTCTGCCTCCCATGACATCTTCCTAAAGAATGTCGCCTCTTCTTCTTCTCCTCCAAGCCAATGCTTCTAATACAGAAGCATTGTGCACAAGAAGCACATGCATGCACGTCCAGTGCTTCCCTAACAGTAGCATTAGAGGATGTTTGAAGTCCTCATACAATGTGTGAAGATGTTTGAAGTCCTCATACAATGTGTGAAGATGTCAAAAGTCACAGAACTAAGTCTAACTCAGTCATAAGAGCGGAAGCATCATCTAGGAAGACAGACAGTTGAGGTGTGTTTATCTACGAAATTGAACGTTTTGCATTGAAAGATGAAAACGACAGGGCCACTGCATCCAGATGCCCATTGGTATACAGATCCCAGGTATGTGGATTAGCTAAAACATTGGACGGTCACCACCTTAAATCAATGTAGCCACTGTCAGAAAAATTAGGTACTTACATCAACAGTCTGAGTTTTGGGAAACGTGACATCGATGACATATACACCAGGCCTGGCCTGCTCAGTCTTCACATCTCCAACTTGGAGAGGGACAGGAGATCTAACAGTGCATGGGACAGATTCTAGATCCATGTCAGTTGAATCAAAATGGGGGCTGCAGTCTGCAAAAGCAATAAAAGTTTTTGTATTACATAGTATTGTTACAGTGTTGACACCCACCCCATGTGTTCCTAAGGGTTGATAAGTGTGTAGGGGTTTAGATATAAACCCCTCTCAGTCTCATTAGAGAATTTTACCTGGTAGACAGCAAGGTGAATTCTTAGCCGAGGATTTATCTTAGAAGTTTTGCCTTGACGTGACAGTTGAGCTTACACTTAAATGGCCATTGGAGTGAAACTAAAAAAGCCTCCAGTTGTTTAAATGGGCATAGGGATTTGGGATAGTGCGCAAGTAACCTTTTTTTATTATTGTATGTATTGGGGCTGATGTGTACTATAATCACTGCTGTCCAGTAGTGGGAGTTTGAGTGCAGGGTTTAATTTTGTATGTTAATAAATGATAATAGAGATGCCAAAGTTTCCTAAAGGCTTACTGTAACTAATCACATTTGTACCAAAGATGAGATAACAAGACCAATCCCAAGGATACGACTGTTGGGTTTCCAAAAATGTTACTGCTTTGCCTTTTGGTTTTGTAGGTTTACATTTTTTCTCTATGAATAAATTCTCTTTCTGGTTCTTAAGAAAACCAGATTGTGAAAACAGACAGGTATGATTTGTATGACTAAATGTAAAAGAGTGTCTTCAGGAGACTGATAGAATGTAATTAGAAATTACTAAATATAAACCATGATAGCCAACATGTAAAAAAAATAAAAACCCTAAATTTGGCTATGTTTCCAGATATGCTATTTTGGGTTTTAACCACATTTCACAACCCCCATAATTACTCTCAGCAAAATCATTTGCACCAAGGACCCCCTGGGATAAGTTAATATTGCAGGACTATGCATATTAATAAAACAAAATCAGTGGAAAGAAAATTCCTCTTACTGTTACATATGCAATAACATATATTTCATATTAGTTAACAAAATCCTTTTAGCTCTGTATAGGAGGGGTGCACTATATTGTTTTCAATAAATATTTGCTTACAATACTAAACAGACAGAATAGCACCCACCTGCTTAATGATCCTTTAATGCAGTATCTTTTAGTTTCTTTCCATACTGCTCCCTTGCCTGATGAAACAATTGGATTTTTCCCTGATCAAATATGTCATCCGTAGGACACAATGAAAAGGACACCCACAGCTCTGTATACGTTAAGAAAGCAAGCATCATTCATTTGCCCTCACTAAACATGGCTGAAAGTCAGCTGACATGTTTTGCTTCCATTTCTATGGAGATACAAGCTGCACAATATAGTGGGAGAGGCCATACACTTGTCAAGAGTTCTAAACACAAGAGACAAATGTCTATGGTATGCACCCAATATACAGACTGCTGTTTTTGTTTTATTCTGTGTTTCAGTATATGTCACACATATTACACTGCTTTTGCTATTTTTGTAGTATTAAAGGACCACTCTAGGCACCCAGACCACTTCAGCTTAATGAAGTGGTCTGGGTGCCAGGTCCAGCTAGGGTTGACCCATTTTTAAATAAACATAGCAGTTTCAGAGAAACTGCTATGTTTATCAATGGGTTAAGCCTTCCCACTAATCCTCTAGTGGCTGTCTCATTGACAGCCGCTAGAGGCGCTTGCGTGCTTAGTGAGAGCACGCCAGTGTCCATAGGAAAGCATTATGAATGCTTTCCTATGTGACCGTCTGAATGCGTGCGCAGCCAGCCGACGGGGCGGATCGGAGGAGGAGAGAAGGAGGAGAGCTTCCCGCCCAGCGCTGGAAAAAGGTAAGTTTAAACCCCTTTCCCCCTTCCAGAGCGGGGCGGGAGTGGGTCCCTGAGGGTGGGGGCAAGTATGTTTTTCTGGCACTATAGTGGTCCTTTAACATGTTTTCCATTTCAGATAAGAATTTAAAGGAACACTATAGTCACCTAAATTACTTTAGCTAAATAAAGCAGTTTTAGTGTATAGATCATTCCCCTGCAATTTCACTGCTCAATTCACTGTCATTTAGGAGTTAAATCACTTGGTTTCTGTTTATGCAGCCCTAGCCACACCTCGCCTGGCTATGATTGACAGAGCCTGCATGAAAAAAACAACTGGTTTCACTTTCAAACAGATGTAATTTACCTTAAATAATTGTATCTCAATCTCTAAATTGAACTTTAATCACATACAGGAGGCTCTTGCAGGGTCTAGCAAGCTATTAACATAGCAGGGGATAAGAAAATCTTAATTAAACAGAACTTGCAATAAAGAAAGCCTAAATAGGGCTCTCTTTACAGGAAGTGCTTATGGAAGGCTGTGCAAGTCACATGCAGGGAGGTGTGACTAGGGTTCGTAAACAAAGGGATTTAACTCCTAAATGGCAGAGGATTGAGCAGTGAGGCTGCAGGGGCATGTTCTATACACCAAAACTGCTTCATTCACACGTGGGGTAACTCTTTGGAACATGGTACCCACAGCTGCGTCTGTGACTGGTTTGGCATATCAAAACTGCACTGCGCTGCAAAATGTTTGATTCTTTATGCACCAATAAAAAAGATAAATGAGAAAAAAAAACTGCTTCATTAAGCTAAAGTTGTTCAGGTGACTATAGTGTCCCTTTAAGTAGAGTAAACAGTTGTATATTGCAATAATTCTTAGAAGAAGCATAATATTTTCCATTTGGAAAGATTTACCTCTCATCTCTAAGTATACCTGCAGCAAATTATATTTTTTCACAATTTTTTTCATACACGTTAAAATTCGGATCCCTGTATAGTTGGTTGATTTTCACAGGCGTGAAAGTAATATAATATATAAAAAAAAATAATTAAATATGCTAATTAAAATGTCCAAGCTACTGCCAATAAAAGAGGAAACTTCAACAAATGGCTAAACAAAAAGGAAAGACTACGATTTTTGTCTTCTCTAATGAGCTCTCTGTATCTAGCACTGCAAGCTCGCCCTTCAGTATAACTAAAGCTCCTTTTACACACACAATGCGCATTCAATGCTTTCCTATGGGGATTCCGGTGACACTGGAGGTCCTCATGCATAGCGTGAGGACGTCCAGCATCGTTTATAACACTTTTTGTGTTCTAAAAATATGGAAGTCCCTCTAGACAGCCACTAGAGGAGGACTTAACCCTGCAAGGTAATTATTGCAGTTTATAAAAACTGCAGTAATTACACTTGCAGGGTTAAGGGTGGTGGGAGTTGGCACCCAGACCACTCCAATGGGCAGAAGTGGGTGCCTGGAGTGTCCCTTTAATGTAGTTCAGCAAGGGAAATTAGTTTTTTGAACATGTTAAATGACACCTTCATGTCACAACTAGAGATGTCGCGAACGGTTCGTGGCGAACTCCGGTCAGCTGACACATCCCGGCCAATCTCCAGCAGACCCTCCTACTTCCTGGACAGCATCCATGTTGAAGGCAGCTTCAACATGGATGCTGTCTGGGAGGGAGGGTCTGCTGGAGATTGGCCGGGATGTGTCAGCTGACCGGAGTTCGCCACGAGAAGTTCGCGGACGGTTCGCGACATCTCTAGTCACAACTGGTACAAGTACCAACTAGAAAGGACGTTTGTTTGGATCTGGTTATAACAAGCAATGTTGATCTTTTGGCAAACATTCAAGTACGGGAGCACTTGGTAAATAGTGATCACAATTTGGTGTCTTTTAAAATTAACTCAAAAAAGCAAAAACAGATGGGGTTATACTAAAACATCCTTTTAAAAGGCCAATTTCAATAAGATAAGGGCAACTTTACAACATATTGACTGACATAAACTCTTTAGTAAAAAAAAACCACTGAGGATAAATGGAATATCTTCAAACAAATATTAAAAAGGTACATTTCTCAGTATGTGCCATTGGTTAATAAATTTAAAAGAGACAAATTAAAAACCAGTGTGGCATAGTTGGAAAGTAAACCAAGAGATCAAAAGTAAGAAAAGAACATTTAAAGCATTTAAATCAGACAGAATCCATTATAAGATTTAAGGAAGCCAATAATGCATGCAAAAGGGCAATTATAATGGCTAAGTTAGAAAATTTAGAAATTGAAAGTGTAGGTACACTGAAAACAGAGATGGGTGTGTTAGTTAATAAAAACCAGGAAAAGGCAGAAATTTTAAATAACTATTATTCCTCAATATATATTAAAAGAACACTATAGGGTTAGGAACACAAACATGTATTCCTGACCCTATAGTGTTAAACCCACCATTTAGGTCGCTTGCCCCCCCTTAGCCCCCTTAAAAGTTAATAAAACTCACCTTATTTCCAGCGCCGCGCAAGTCTGCCGGCGCTAGCTCCGACCCCTTGGTGACATCATCAGAATTGCCAATTTTTAGCCAATCCAATGCTTTCCCCTGGGAAAATCGACAAGGGGTGGGGCAAAACTCAGTTTTGGCCAATCAGCACCTCCTCATAGAGATATATTAAATCAATCGATTTCTATGAGGAAAACTCAGCATCCCCATGCAGAGCGTAAAGATGCTGAACGGCACTGCTGCCTACTGTACAGCACTGAGCCAGGAAGCACCTCCAGTGGCCATCTGAAGAATGGCCACTTGGAGGTGTCCCTAGGGGCAATGTAAACACTGCCTTTTCTCTGAAAAGGCAGTGTTTGCATGAAAATGCCTAAAGGTAATGATTATACTCACCAATAACCTCAGTGCATAATATGTTTGCGCCATTTTGTCCCAGACGAATTACAATAACAATAATGCATAAACAAGCTTCAAGGCTATCCTACGACTCTCTCAGTATGTAATATACTGTGGTAACCTTAGTAGATAAGGATGTTCAGACTTTAAGATGACATCTTGAACTAAGTCAGGAAAATTTCCATGACGTATGCACCTTTTAGTAAAGGCCTTGTATGTTTGCCAAATTAAGGGAGGTCCTAAAATGAATAAAGTAAAAGAAGTGTTACTTTTTCATATATGAACTACGGTAACCCTAAAATGGAGACACCTAAGGTATAAATAGGTGTACTTTTAAATGTTAAGACACAGAGGAGAGACTTGGAGACAGACGCTGCTCCATCTTAAAATGACAGAGAGGCTGACATGATGACATGTTCAGAAGGGTATGTTAACCTATTAATGATATTTGCAAGCATTTAGTTTAATCTTATAAACTCTGCTATAATGGATTTTATATGTCTATATTTATATTTTTATATAATAAATATTTAAAAAGACAAAACTCTATTGCTTCCAAGACAATCCTTATTTTATATTGTATTCTCAATTATTTATATATGTTAAATAGAGGATCTCTAAAACTAAGATATCTGTATGGTTAGCCCTGCTAAGTTCTATGCTTTAAGACATTATAGTGGTAAATAAGGGAACCAGACGCCATTACAGTGCTTATGGTGCTCGCAAGTGCTTGGAAGCAGTGATTGACAGAGGTACCCGGTTGGGGTGCCAAGCGGTCCGTCACATTGGTGGCAGCGGCGGGATGGCTTCATAGGAGTATAGAAGCATCCTGGAGACACCAGTATCATATGGATTTATAATTGAGGGCAACGCTAGTATCCATACAGCGCCCCTGTCTACAGCAGTATGGAGCAAGCTAGTCCCTGTGCAGCGTTCCCATACGTGGAGGAGTTCCAGTGGTGACTGCAGGACGCATTAGCCCGGTATGATGGCCCTGTCTCTGTAAGTGTTGCCCTGGATGTTAGGGTCCAGGTCCGGAAGCAACTCTGGGGAGAGGTCATGGAGGAGATGCAGGTTCTCCTGAGAGAATCCCTCCCAACCCCAGAACAGCGACATCGGGATCAATTGGATCTGCGGAAGAATGGGTGATTCACCTGGAGAGACTGCTCTGGAGAGAATTGGCGGTAGATGATGGCTACCAGGCTTTACGGTGGTATGGGATCTAGCAGTACCCATGGCTAGCTGATGATGACCCGCCAGAGGGTGAGGACTATAATGGCCCCGGGGTATTGCGGGAGGCTTTTCAAGGGGAGACTGAGTTAGGAAGTACTGCGTTGCTCCGATACTGGGACATCCAGGCACTTACGCGAAACGTCCTGGATCTCGTGGAAGCGACAAGCCTTCAAACCGATCTGTTCTACCTAGCCCTCCTTGAGTTGGGGCTGGAAAAGGAGTACAAGCAACTGTTCAACTCTGTGCAGCAGTGGGCCATGGGGGCTGGGGATTTAATAGATCCCTATAGAGATGCTGGGCAGCCCGCCCAGATCCCCAACTGTGGAATCCTGTCTCTTTTCAGCTATATAACTATGTAAGGGTGTAAACGAGATGGGGAAAAAAAACCCCACCACAGAACAAAGCTGACACACTTATGCACATGTATGGGAACAGGAAGCTGTAGCAGAAATACTTAGGGAATGAGTACGGAAGAGGGGGGCACCAAATAATGACATGTATGCCTTCCGTTGTACGCGTGAGGTGAAAAGTGCGACAGATATAGGGCGAATGATCATGTTGCAAATGGACTGGGTTGTTTTTTTATCTCTGTTTATTTTTTTTCGTTTCTATAAATTAATTTTACATCATATCACATGTCGTTCCTCGATATAATGTAATGTTTATCGGAAATGTGAGCAGAGACATTGTACAGGAGATGCAATGCCCTAGTAGTTTATGACAGGGTATCTGGCGATATATCGAATAACGTAATTCAATGTGAACAATTGCTTTGGACTATTTCAATTGTGATACTGTGACACTGAAGTGTGTACACTCAATAAAAATGGTCAAATTTTAAATAAAATAATTAAAAAAAAGTGTGTGGGAAAAAATGTACATTGTTATTCAAGCAATATCACATAGATTTTAGATCTGTAGCCAAAATACTTTGAGGGAGGGAGGGGGGAGTATATTTTCTAATTATTTAAAAATAGCCTTAATAATTAACAATAATAACATGAATTAATCAGTACTCATAAACCAATACAATCATAATAACAATAATAAAATAAACTGGCAGGTAGCGCAACATAGTCAGTGCTACTTTCCACCGGCATGTAAAGGGTTATATGGGAGGGGCATGCGCTGACACCTGCTCCACTGTGAGCAGTGCCCAGTACTACATGCGGAAGTGAATCCACCAATCAGCGGCTGAGGGAGGAACCATTGTTTTTTGCAGGGGGGGAGAAGGCAGCCGTCCGCAATTAGTGTTTTCTATCTCCGGGCTCACAGCGCTCCTGAAGAATGGCGGCAGAGGCTGCGCAGGTGATTTTTTTTAATGGGGCTTCTTGGTGGGGGCTGAGTTTATTTGGAAGCCTCGTGGTGGTGATGACAGGGGAGTTCTATCTTTTACGACCCGCTGTGAAGGTCGTGACTGCGTATTTAGCTATTAACCTGTGTCCACCTAGCGTGGGATGGGTTAGACCGCGTGCGGTCACGTGACTGCTTGTTACGGCGTGTGTGTATCCCCCCCCCCTTTGGGATTTTTATGCTGGGACCAGTTCTGTCCCACGTGACCTTGGTCTGATCACATGACGTGAGCATCATGTAAAACATGATAACTATAGTCTGCCAGGTCAGCTTTCCATTACACCAGGGGGGGGGCAGACTGTATTTGGCCTAAACTGAGATAAAGCCAATCCTACCACAATCTACACCCTTTCAATAAAATCCCATCTGTTATAAAGTTGTTTCAGGAAGCACTTGCCTTCCTTGAAAGACCTCTATTTTTGGTGCTTTATAAATTATTATTATTATTTATAAAGCACCAACAAATTCTGTAGCTCCGTATAATAGGTGGACTAACAGACGTGTATTTGAGACGAGCTGGACGAACAGGAACAGAGGGTGTTGAGGGACCTGCTTAAAGGACCACTATAGTGTCAGGAAAACATACTCGTTTTCCTGGCACTATAGTGCCCTGAGGGTCCCCACACTCAGGGAACCCCTCCCGCCCGGCTCTGGGGAGAGGAAAGGGGTTAAAACTTATCTTTTTCCAGCACTGGGCGGGGAGCTCTTCTCCTCCGATCCTCCTCCTCTCGTCCCATTCGGCTGAATGCGCACGCCCGGCAAGAGCTGCGCGCGCATTCAGCCAGTCTCATAGGAAAGCATTTACAATGCTTTCCTATGGACGCTGGCGTCTTCTCACTGTGATTTTCACAGTGAAAAGCACGCAAGCACCTCTAGCGGCTGTCAATGAGACAGCCGCTAGAGGAATTGGAGGAAGGATTAACTCATTTGTAAACATAGCAGTTTCTCTGAAACTATGTTTATAAAAAAAAATGGGTTAACCCTAGCTGGACCTGGCACCCAGACCACTTCATTAAGCTGAAGTGGGGTGGGTGCCTAGAGTGGTCCTTTAAATAAGTTTACATTCTAGATAATTTATGCATCAGCCTTACTGTCTATCATTATTAATAAATTGTCATTTTATTTATCATTGTGTTAAGTTGTTTACAATTCTGCTGAATCCATTGGCATCCTATGAATATAATAATGGCTTACATGGTTCATCTTTATGTAGGAATAGTCTGTGGGCATTGCGATTTTTTTTTTTTTTTTTTAAATGTTTCATTCCGTAACTTTGTAAGTTAAGTAAATGGTTTATTCTGCAGTGGGAGCACCGATCCAACAAAACAAACACATTTTAAGCCAAGTGCTGATTGTGGACCTTAACCCCAAAAATCTATTTCATATGTGGTCTAGGTTGACACATATTAAAGGGGAACTGTCACTTTGCCAAATCTTATTATATAATTGAATGCACGTCTTTGCTTACTTGTATGTCCTTTTTGGTGTTGGAGCAGAAGACAATTTGTAGGTGATGAGTTGGAATCTAAGAACTCTAACTCTCTCTAAAAAGCGGTTCTCAAAGGGTTACTGCAAATACGATGACTACTTCTGCCTTTTGAAGTGGTCATGGTGGTAGGAGTCTGAATGTGCAGTGTTTCTACTTGCTATCTGAGCTATGCTTGTCAGTGAATAGCTTAGCTCAGGGGTAGGCAACCTTTTAGCAGGACTGTGCCGATATAGGATTGTGATGTCCCGTGGCGTGCCAGTCCTATTTGTTTAAATTGAGGTGTGTATGCTACCGTATTCTGCTTGTATTATTTATACTGTAAATGCTTTGTATCATTGTATTTGTGCGTATATGAGCTATTATATTGTATATGTTCAGGAGTAGTTTGTGGTATTGTGTATGATACATATGAATGTGGGCTGTGTATGGGGGCTGATTGTGGAATTGTGTGTGTGGATGGAAATGCCACATTGTGTGTTTGGTAGTGTGTGTATGTGTGGGGGCTGTTTGGGGTATTGCATGTGAGAGGCTGCATGTGGGGTTGTGTGCATGTATGTGGATTGTTAGCGGGTTACGTTTGTGCAAATTGTATGTTTGTTTGTGGGCTGTTCGTATTATTTGTATGAGTAAATCTAGCAGTGTGGGTGGCTTCCATTGGGTTCCAGCGGGAATCAGGCTGGCCAGGTACAGGTCAAGGACAAGAGCTGCAGCTGCAGGCTGCTCTACTACAGTGTGGATTCCCATTCACGAGTGCTGGGAGGAAGTGATCTGAGATCACTTACTCTATGTGCTGCAATGCATAAATTGAGGATTGTCCTTCACCACCTTTTTGTATTAGTAGATATCTGAAGTTTCACTGGGACTCCTGATAGGCCAGAGCCTGTTTGGCTGTAGCAGCCTTGAGTGCCGTGTAAAGACACCTTGAGTGCCGTGCATGGCACTAGTGCCATAGGTTGCCTACCCCTGGCTTAGCTCATCGACGCTAAGATATTGGAGATATATGTTTAATATAATACCCATGTAGTTTACTGTTGAATAAACACTAAAAAAGCTCAAACTACATTGCTACTCAGTGCACCAAGGAACCCTCTAGGGTCAAAAAGTACATTACTATCTGCTTATTGCTATAAAGTAATACAAATTGAAATCAAAATTGATTATGCTAGTTTTATAATAAGCTAAATCATCAAAAAGGCTAGATAATGTCAATCTTGGCATTTACGCTTTGATTTATACATGAGGTAATTAAAGACTATTAGACTTGTGCACAGAAGAAAAAGTTGGTTCATTCAAGTTATACATACCAACTGTGGTTTTCCCTTTTACTTTTGTATCAACTCGTTGGCAGACAATGGGAAGTTAAAAATTGGAGCAGGTGGGCAGTGAAGAACAGCATTCTTGAACTCTGACATAAGATGAAAAAGCACCCTGGCCACAATTTGACCCTTAGCCATGGCTGGCATTTAATGCGTTAAAAACAGTGCTGCATAAGCAGCCACACTGCATGTCTTCTCTCTTTTTCCATCCCATTTGTCTGAGCGATGGGCAAACATTTATTAAAATTGTGTCAACCTAACAAAGGGTCCCCCCGAGACCCTCACTCAAAGGTGAAGGGTGAGAGGTTAAATATTGGAATGGTTGGGCAGCAGAGCTGCTCAAACACTCCCTACACCCATTGGTTTTTTTTCTGAGTATAGGGGAAAAAAGATTCTTCATGAGCCCTTTAACCATGGCAGTGGCAAGGAGATAATTTGAGCATCTTCGAACTTCGCGCCTATTCTCTGGTCTGAACTATGGGGGAGATCTAAGACGCTCCATTTTGAAATGCGCAAGATAAGCAACGAGATACCGAATGCAGAGTAGAATCAGAGAAGATTAGTTAGATTTCCCATTTTTGTATGAAAATATTACCAATTTACATAAATACAACTAACACTATAAGTGGACGTTCGTGGAATAACCGTTATGGGTCATGAATTTTTTGTACGGTATTAGTCAAACCATTTTTTAAATTTTGTGCAAGTTTTCATGCTCTCATCTAAAATTGCTAGCTAAGTGAAAACAGAGTTTCTGCATTAACAGTAAAGAGAAGACCTAAAGGACCCAGGTAAGTGTGAAACCATTCAAAAATAGTTTGACTCCTTACCATGGGATGGCGCCAGAATACTCCAAACTTTAGTCCATTATATATATAGAGTGTGTGCGTGAGAGAGAGAGAGAGAGACTGCAAGTGTGATAACTTTTAAAGATCTAATAGTCTCAGAGGGTGAAAGTATCTTTGTTACTATTTTGTAGTCTGACCGTCGTTATCATCACAAATTTGGGATCCCTGACTAGCATGTGATTTCCTTCCATTTCTGTGTTTAATAAAAAGAATTCAAGCCAAAACCAGGAAGGAATACCTGCAGATTGTCCTTTATATTATCCAGGCAACTTAGCGTTACATTTTACAGTGTAGTTGACTTGCTAATAACTATGAGAACTAAAAGGTTTCTGGTGGTTTATTGAGTTGTATAACTAATTTTACCGCCTATATAGGAGGAATCTGTCTCTCGTTAATTGCCACCACATGATCAGAGAAGACAATAAAGGAAAATGTATTCCTACTTACCATAATTTTCTTTTCCTGGTCATAGGCCATGGCAGCACAACAACGGGTAGCTCCTCCCTATCCCTAACCAGACAGGAACCTAATTAAAACAGAAGGTATGAGTAACCCCTCCCACCCTCAGTCTTGTTTCCAGCAATATCCCTGGGTGGGATCCTTGTGCTGCCATGGCCTATGACCAGGAAAAGAAAATTACGGTAAGTAGGAATAAATTTTCCTGGCCATATCCATGGCAGCACAACAATGGGTAATACCCAAGCAATAACAAAGGGAGGGAAAGAAGTACACAAAACTTCCAAATATAAATGCAAATTGACAACACATACCTCATAAGGACATTGGAAATGAAAAACTGATTGCCCACTATTGGCACATTAATAACTTGGCAAATTGACCAACTCAAATGTTCCCCCCCCAAAAATGAAGCCTAGGAATAAGTTTGATTGAAATTCAAATAGCAGAAAACCCTTACCGTATAGATGAAACAGATGAAGGGTAGAAGGGGTTATATCCATATATTTGCTCTGTATGTGCCTGCCCCGCCTGCTACTCCTGGGTCACTGCAGGAAATAGGCTGATGGCAAATTCTTGCTACCTTTAGGGTCACAGCAAGTAAATCCATGGGAAAGTATACGATAGTGAGTTGTACTTTTAAGACTTTCAGTGAAGGAATGCTAGTCCATCTTACATTAACTCCTTCAGGGATGAAATGTTAGTTAATCTCATAGAATCCTTGCAAACCACGTGGTCTGTATGTGCATGTCCGGCCTGCTATCCCTTGGTCACTGCAGGAAATAGGCTAAAGTCAAAATCTTGCTTCCTCTAGGTTCACAGCAAGTAAATCCATGGGAAAGAACAGGATAATAGAGTTGTACTTTAACCCTTTCAGTGATGGAATGCTAGTCTGTCTCACATTAACTCTTTCAGCGATGGAATGTTAGTGTCATATTAATCCTTGCAATCCATGTGCTCTGTATGTGCATGTCCGGCCTGCTATCCCTTGGTCACTGCAGGAGATAGGATGATGGCATAATCTTGCTACCCCTAGGGTCACCGCAAGTGAATCCATATGCTCTGTATGTGCGTGCCCAACCTGCTACCCCTTGGTCACTGCAGGAATTGTGGTGATGGCATGATCTTGCTACCCCTAGGGTCACCGCAAGTAAATCCATATGCTCTGTATGTGCGTGCCCAACCTGCTACCCCTTGGTCACTGCAGGAATTGTGGTGATGGCATGATCTTGCTACCCCTAGGGTCACCGCAAGTAAATCCATATGCTCTGTATGTGCGTGCCCAACCTGCTACCCCTTGGTCACTGCAGGAATTGTGGTGATGGCATGATCTTGCTACCCCTAGGGTGTGGCTCTGTATTGCTACATGGTCACTGCAGGAATTATGGTGATGACATGATCTTGCTACCCCTAAGGTCACAGCAAGTTAGAACCCCTGGTCACTAAAGGGGTTTCTCCAGGGGGTTACCTTTGCACAGGGCCACATACTGAAGACTTCCCAAGGGAGAGAGGCTGAACTCCCTTGAGGCAGAAGGTAACAACCGTCAGGTAAGCCAAAAAGAAAAAATTCTCTAGTCTTAGAATGGCTAAGTCTTTCCTAGGGATAGGACAGGAACAAAAAAGACTGAGGGTAGGAGGGGTTACTTATACCTTCTGTTTTAATTAGATTCCTGTCTGGTTAGGGATAGGGACGAGCTACCCATTGTTGTGCTGCCATGGATATGGCCAGGAAAATTATTTGTTCAGTTATCCTGTGTAAAGTGTATAGTTTGGCAACTTTTTGTCTTAGCTTTTTGATGACTCCTTGAAGATCATGTGAGCTTTATGTATTTGAGTGTAAGGTATTTTTTACTCTTTGTTAAAAAAATCTTTAAAAACTTTTATTTTGTGTAATCATTAACAATACATTGTTGGTGTCCAAACAGTCACGGGAAGATTTTTTTTTTTTTTCATAGACAAAAGGTAATTCTGCTTCTGCTTCTACTTCCATTCATCCAAGCTGATATTTGGTGTGTGTTTTTTTTTTTTTTGTAAAACAATTCCCTATAGTCACTGTCTCTCATCTGTTCAGGACATGCCCCTCTAATCTTATTCTTCCCAACCCAATCTTCAAGGCATCAAAGTTAGTGAGGCAAACATAGAGACCGTTTGGGCTACGTTAGAATTTGGTAATCACACAGTAACTCGTGTAGGTGTGATTTATAGGCCCCCAGGACAAATTGAAGAGTTAGATAATCTACTAGTTGAGGAAATAGCTAAAATGACAATGAAGGGGGAAGTTATCATCATAGGTGACTTTAATCTTCCTGATGTAAATTGGAAAACAAAATTAGCTACTTGTGCCAGGAGCACACATATTCTAAACTCCCTACTGGGTTTGTCTCTAAAACAAGTTGTTGAGGAGCCAACTCGTAAAGAGGCCATACTAGATTTAGTGTTAACAAATGGAGATTTAGTATCAGATGTTACTGTAGGTGAAAGTTTAGGATCCAGTGATCATGAGTCAGTGTGGTTTAATATAAGAACAGTGACTGAGTCACACCACACAAAAACAAAAGTTTTAGACTTTAGAAAAACAGACTTTTCTAAAATTAGAATATGGGTAGAGGAGTCATTATCAGACTGGAGCAATTTAAATGGAGTCCAAGAAAAATGGGATTATTTAAAAGTTGCACTATTGAAGGCAACAGAAAATTGCATTAGGCTTGTCAGTAAAAGCAAAAAAATTCAAGAAACCACTGTGGTACTCCACAGATGTGGCCAAAATAGTTAAAAACAAAAAGTTAGCATTTAGGAATTATAAAAAAAAACAGAGTGAGGGAGACAAAATGATCTATAAGATTAGGCAGAAAGAGGCTAAGCAAGTTATAAGAGCTTCCAAATCACACACAGAAGAGAAAATAGCACAGACAGTAAAAAAGGGGGATAAAACATTTTTTAGATACATAAATGAGAAAAGAAAAGTAAAACAAGGATTAGTTAGATTAAAAACAAAAGAAGGAAGGTATGTAGAAGAGGATAAAGGTCAGGCTGACTGCCTCAATGAATATTTTTGTTCTGTATTTACAGAAGAAAATGAAGGAAAAGGACCTCACTTGAGAAAAAGGATAAATGAGTCATTTATTACACGTGAGTTTACAGAGGAAGAGGTTCTATTTCAACTGTCAAAAGTAAAGACAAATAAGTCAATGGGACCTGATGGAATACACCCAAAGCTATTAAAAGAGCTTAGTGGTGTACTAGCAAAACCATTAACAGATTTATTTAACCAATCATTGTTAACAGGAGTAGTCCCAGAAGATTGGAAGTTAGCGAATGTTGTGCCCATTTACAAGAAAGGTAATAGGGAGGAGTCGGGCAACTATAGGCCAGTAAGCCTTACTTCAGTAGTGGGGAAAGTGATGGAAACCATGTTAAAGGATAGGATTGATGAGCATCTAAAAACACATGGATTTCAAGATCAGAGACAACATGGGTTTACTTCAGGGAGATCATGCCAAACTAATCTTATTGATTTTTTGATTGGGTAACTAAAATTATAGATCAGGGTGGTGCAGTAGACATTGCTTACCTAGATTTCAGTAAGGCTTTTGACACTGTTGCACATAGAAGGCTTATCAATAAACTGCAATCTTTAAGTTTGGATTCCAATATTGTTGAATGGGTAAGGCAGTGGCTGAGTGACAGGCAACAGAGGGTTGTAGTTAATGGAATATATTCAAAGCTTGGACTTGTCACCAGTGGGGTACCTCAGGGATCTGTACTTGGACCCATTCTCTTTAATATTTTTTATTAGTGATATTGCAGAAGGTCTTGATGGTAAGGTATGTCTTTTTGCTGATGATACTAAGATATGTAACAGGGTTGATGTTCCAGGAGGGATAAGCCAAATGACAAATAATTTAGGTAAACTAGAAAAATGGTCAGAATTGTGGCAACTGACATTTAATGTGGATAAGTGCAAGATAATGCATCTTGGGCGTAAAAACCCAAGGGCAGAGTACAGAATATTTGATAGAGTTCTAACCTCAACATATGAGGAAAGGGATTTAGGGGTGATTATTTCTGATGACTTAAAGGTAGGCAGACAATGTAATAGAGCAGCAGAAATGCTAGCAGAATGCTTGGTTGTATAGGGAGAGGTATTAGCAGTAGAAAGAGGGAAGTGCTCATGCCATTGTACAGAACACTAGTGAGACCTCACTTGGAGTATTGTACACAGTACTGGAGACCGTATCTTCAGAAGGATATTGATACCTTAGAGAGGGTTCAGAGAAGGGCTACTAAACTGGTTCATGGATTGCGGGATAAAACTTACCAGAAAAGGTTAAAGGACCTTAACATGTATAGCTTGGAGGAAAGACGAGACAGGGGGGATATGATAGAAACATTTAAATATATAAAAGGGAATCAACACAGTAAAGGAGGAGACTATATTTAAAAGAAGAAAAAACTACCACAACAAGAGGACATAGTCTTAAATTAGAGGGACAAAGGTTTAAAAATAATATCAGGAAGTATTACTTTACTGAGAGGGTAGTGGATGCATGGAATAGCCTTCCAGCTGAAATGGTAGAGGTTAACACAGTAAAGGAGTTTAAGCATGCATGGGATAGGCATAAGGCTATCCTAACCATAAGATAAGGCTAGGGACTAATGAAAGTTTTTAGAAAATTGGGCAGACTAGATGGGCCGAATGGTTCTTATCTGCCGTCACATTCTATGTTTCTATGTTTCTATGTTTCTATACCAATGGTCCTGGTTTTACCTGTATCCCCACTGGAATAGAATTGTGAAAAGAGTGCTCTTACAGCCATTATGTTGGCAAAGCATCAAGGGAGATGTAGTTCAGAACACCTGCAGTGACGAAGGTTGCCTACTCCAGTCTTGACATTTTGATGTGATTTGAGGACAGGGTTGGGAACCACTGATCAAGGCTGTATAACAGGTTTCTGTGAGGGAAAAAAAAACAATTGCACATGCATTAATCATGCTTGCTTGCTTGCTTTCTTCTGTTTC